TTGATAAGCACTGAAACTAAGCAGGGTCAGTACCTGAATGGAGACCTTTTGCCAATTCCAGGTTGCTGGTAAGATAAGGTGTTAATGCCTCGGTATTTTTTTAAATTAAGTTTTTATTTGATGGCAAAATATGTTTTAAAAATCTTAGTGATGTAACGTTGTACTTTGTTCGAACACTCCCACACCCATGTGCTGCAGTAGGCGGGTTTGTAAAGGAGTCAATCTGCTTGCATGTACTCCTGAACATGATGATGGTGGCTGTGAGAGACAGTGTTGTCCTAGTTACTGAAAAATAGTAACTTCATTCAAAAAGACCATCAACTCAATTACTTTATCGATTACTTGCATCAAAAAGTAATGCATTACTGTTAAAAGTCATTTTTGAGTTACTTTTCCAAAGAACTTTTTTAATGCTCCCATTAATGCTTTTTTAATGCTCCCACAGTCACCATCATCGTGTTTAGGAGTACATGCGAGCAGATTGACGTCTTTACAAACCTGCCTACTGCAGCACATGGGTGTGGGAGTGTTCGAATAAGTGAAGTTTAGTTTTAAACTAATTTCGAGAGGAGCATGTGCTCATGATTTACCCAGCTGGTCCACATTAACTAATTATGATCCTCCAATCGAAGGATCCCAAATCACTATATATATCCTCATTTCCTTTCTACAACTATCTTCGTCTGGAAGAAACCCCCCTCCTCCCCTTCTTCCTCCTTTATCCAGAATGGGCGGCACGGTGGCCCAGTGACTAGCACTGTTGCCTCACAGCAAGAATACCAATGGTGTTGGGTCCTCGCTGAGCCATCTGGTATTTCTGTGTGGAGTTTGCATGTTCTCCCCGTGTCCGCGTGGGTTTCCCCCGGGTTCCCCGGTTTCCTCCCACCATCCAAATGTGCTCTATATTATAGATAAAACAAGCCTAAACCTTTTTTATAATGTCTTACTCTCAGGAAGTTCGCCTTGGCCTCAGCAGCGGGGGAGTTTGAGATAGACCTGAGCTCAATCTCCACTCGCCCTGCAAAAGGGGGAGCGCCCTGGGCTCGAGGATCCCTTGAGCTCAGGGCTCTCTCCCGGGACAGCATGCCAAACAAGCTATGTATAAATCATGAGCTAAGTGTGAACTCTTGAAACTATAATGTTACATCACTAACATTTTTTGAACATATTTTGCTTCCAAATAAAGACCTTCATTTGAAGCATACCGAGGCATTAACACCTCATCTTACCAGCAAACTGGAATTGCCAGAACGTCTCTATTTAGGTACTGACCCTACTTAGCTTCAGTACTTTGCAAACACTATACATATATATACTTCAAGCTATCTCATTACCCTGCAAAAAAACTTGGTTTCAGTTCATCAAATTGACAGATAACAATTATCAGTAAAACTTCTATGAACGACTGTGACTCAACCCTGTTTAGCACAAACTGTGAAAGCACGCAGATATCTTATAACATCACATAGACTGTTAATCAACTTCACAGTTTTAATTAATTTGTATTCTCAATTAAAACACAAGACAGACTTAAAAAAGAAGTAATTTTTTTAAACATTAATTTATTTAAATCAGACCAGCAGCACAAAAATAAAAAATATTATGAGATGAATGATATATTCAGAAACAAAAAAGCAGAAGTTGTTGTACTTAACCCATAAGCATGTTCCTTCACAGCTTGAGTATAAAAACTAGCAAAAATATACAACAAACACAAAATCTTTATGAAATAAATAAATTAAAGTAATCTGAATTATCATTCAGAATCAATTTGGTGAAACTCAGCACCAAAAAAACTGCTGTTAATGACAACCATAGATTTGATGAAGTTTAAACAAAACAAAAATATGACAGCTTCTCAAAAATGAATCAATGAACAATCAAACGTGGTATGTCAACAACGGATTCTGTGTATATCCAAAGCAAAATCTGCTGTTGTACAACAGCGATTAAAATATGTAAAACAATTTTTAAAATCACTGCATTTTTTTCTGAACAATACAACACTACAGTATACATTTTAAATAACGTGTTCTAAAATGTATCAGAAATATGTCACTCTGTCTACTAAACTAGAAAACTTTGTTACACAGATAACAAATGTGTCCTTATTTACAAACATAGTAGTATTGGTAATAGTAATTAATAATAGTAACGCTAATAGTCTACTCGATCTCTCTCGTGCGGTCTTGACTTTTGTCCAGTCTGGTGCCTCATACATGACTCGTCTTCTTTACGGTGGTTGGTTGTCATCCACCAATCCCACAGTGCATCTCCACTGTAAACAGGCAGATATGGGCTAGACTGCAGCCAAAATTAATTGACTTACCAAGTAACCAACAAACGCATCATATTGTAATGATAACAGAGTTACTATATTTAAAAAGTAATGCATTACAGTATTACTTACTGTCAAAAATAATGCATTATAAAAGATTATTAAAGATGTCAACCTGCTCGCATGTACCCCTAAACACAATGATGGTGACTGTGAGAGAACAGTTTTATAAACGTCTGGCCAACAGCCTTCTTTACAGATAGCACCACCGTGACATCTGTAATTTGTTTTGTATTTGCCGCAGACAGACATCAAGTTGTGCTTGCACAAACTCAAACAAAAGACTTGACATGATGAGAGTGGCATATCACTTAATATGACCCCCTCCAAGTAATTGAAATCTTTCTGAGTGGTCGTGCAGGTGGTACAGGCTAGTGTTGTTATTTTGTGTTGTGTCCTTCTGTCTGACCCCTGAAGAATGAGAAACGAATCGAGGAAAGAAGTCACATGCCAAATAAGGTGTAGTTCTAGAACACACCCACCGAATGTGGAAATGCCTTGGACCAATGGTAGCTCAAAGGGTGTTCAGGAGGCAAAATGAACTCCCCCAAATGTTTGTTTTGGTGAGCTGTTTTAAACTGCTAAAATAAACTCAACTTTACAGCGACCGGATTTTGTTTGAAATTATTTGATTTCATTTGAACTTTAGTTTATTGAGGCCAGCAAAAGGGTGTTTACTCTGTTGTCAATGTGGATCCTAATGCTCCATAAGGATCCCAAAATCTATTGCCACTTCTTGTAAAAGAGTAATCCTGGACAAAATTCCTTTCATCTCTATCACCTTCTCTCTATAGCTGGTGTGTGGTGACTGCATTGGTGCCATTGCTGCCATTGGTCATCAAGGTTTTGGTTGAGAAGAGATCCCCTGAGCGCTCTGTAAAGGGCTTTGGGTCAGACTATATAAAACACTATATCAGGGGTTACCAACCCTGTTCCTGGAGAGCTACCTTTCTACAGATTTTAGCTTCAACCCTGGATCAAACACACCTGAACCAATTAATTATGACCTGAAGCAGACAAGTTTGTTAGATCAGGGTTGCAACTGAAAGCTGCAAGAAGGTAGTGCTGGTAGTGACCCCTGCTCTATATAAATGCTTTATTCACTCAATATTCAGTGATACCCATACAGAGATGCTACTGACTTCTCTTGTGTCCTTCTCCTGTTCTCTAGGTTTTCATTCATACTCGTTTAAATGTATGCTTTTTGCATATTTCAGTACATGTAGCTCAGAAATAAGCATATTCTGATGTAGAGAGTGCGCTTTGATTCATGGGAAGCATACATCACCGCAAGCATTCAAGCTTCAAACCTCTCGAAATGCCTTTATAGTAAGTTCTAAAGCCATCTGTGTAATATTGTCATCAACCATGCACGATTACTTAAATCATTAATTAAAATGATTATGATAATTGGGTTATTAACATGCTTGATTGCCCTTGTCTGATGCAAATTATGGCAAAAGGAAAATACTTAGAAGAGAGGTTGGGGGTTGGTGCATAGAGAGATGAAAAGATATATGAGCCAAAGGGAAGGAATAAGATGGTAGGGGTGAAAAGTGGAAAAAGAAGCAGGAAACACTGATTGAGAGAGTGCTGAGAATAAACACCCTGCTCAGCATCAATAGCCGTCAATCACTGATGTTCAGTCGTTGTGTAACCATTCTACTCTACTTTGACTTAAGAGCAAACACAGAGGACATTCTCCTGCTGTTTGTATTCAGCTAAGGACTGCTGTGTCTACTTTAAGAGATGGTATTACCTTTGTGAACCTAAACACAACCTCTACTATGTATTAGTATTTCCTTTTAGTGTTAGTATATATTTATATTATTTCCTTGTGGTACATACGCTACTTCAAAGAATATTATAATAGTACCATGTCTGAAGAAGCATTGTTTTAACATGTCCAAACAGTTGTAGTACAGTCTTGGCATCATATAGTAATACAAAGATACTTGCATAAGTCTCAGTACCATGGTACATGTCCAAAAATTTTGGTAATACTATTTGGTGGTACTTTATGCTATTTTTAGTAGTGTCCAAATTAAAGGGTGGGTTTCGCTTACATCAGTATCTGCCTCCTCTTTTATAGCACTGCGACACTTGTTAAATCATCAGGGCCTGTTTATCATGCAAAACCATCCTCCCACTAGTGCTGGACAACAGACGCAGCTGAATGGGTCCAATCAATAGAGCTCAGGGAGGAATGTCAAACAAGCCGTAACACTGCACAGCATCATTGTTTTGTCACGTGTCTCCCCATACAATCTAGAGTAGGAGGAAGAGGAAAAAGAAACTGTGCTAGCTTTCTTATTTGATGGACAATTTTTAACTTAACATCCAATATAGAGAGACAGTTCTAACTTTCCTAATATACTTAGCATTTATCAGTTTGTTGAGGCATGTTATTTTACAATAAATATTTGTTGAGCTGCTGTTAAGATAGTCCTCTGTAAACGACTTCAAGCTATTTGTCCATTCAGCACCACTGTGGCATAGAAATAAATCCTGATGCACAAAATATTTACAGCCTTCATTTTTTGGTTTCTCATTTTCTTCAGTTTACATGGCTTTATCATCTAAGAGCTGCCTTCTAGCCTAAATTGTAACCTAAATTATGTTTGTGCATTAAACCTGATTATGTTTCTTTATTATATTTCAGGTTCTTCCTGCAGTCCTGGAGACTCTCTCTCGGAAGGAAATGATTCCACATGAATTGCATGGACCGCTCTCCCGCAGCAGGTGTGACTTCAATTGCTTAAGACTGAAATCTGTGTCAATCCGACCATAGGCACAGGACACATCCCCTCTCACCACCACTCTCCTCTCTACCCCATTCCCATACTTGCTCCAAGCCAATCAGTAGGAGGGCACACTCTGTTAGCAAGACAAACAGAGACCAGGAGGGAGAGGAAAAGAGCCAAAAAAGGGGAAAGAAAAATCCGGAAAGAGTGGTTCAAGATTTTCAGACACCATGAAGTCAAACCAGGAGCGGAGCAATGAATGCCTGCCCCCAAAGAAGCGTGAAATCCCAGCAAGCACTCTGCCCTCAGAGGAGAAGCCCATGGTGATGGCCCCTGCCAATGAGAGCCAGCGTGGAGGGAACCTGGCTTGGCTTGCCAGTCTGGCCAGTGGGCATGACAAAGGCCGGCTGCACACCAGCACGTCTGCAGAATCAGATGGGCCTCAATATAAACCATTGTCAGCCATGGCTGAGAGCACACCTTCCTCGTCCACACACTCAACCAGAGCTCTATCTGCAGTCACCACCATACCTGCAGTGTACACATCACCTCTCTCCCATTCTCCTAGCGCAATCCAGTACACACCCCTCCCTCACAATATACACTTCATCAACCCTCCTTACTCTGCACCATACGCTGGCTACATTTCTCCACTAGCTCCCCCTTTAGCTGCCACCACTACCACACAACGTGAGATTTATGCCAGCTCCTCCAGTTCTCCAGCATCCAAAATTGATCAGCACCACCAATTGGGCCGTCCTCAAGGCCTGGTCACAACTGACAACACCTCTTCACCTCACTCCACTCAATATGTTCAAATTGCTGGTTCTCCACTAAGCATATCCCCTCGAACTGTTTCGTCACCGCATACACACATGCCCCTACATTTACATCCTCACCACACACTTCCCCTTAGCGGCCCTTCACAGGTCTTAGTCCCATACACAGAAAGTCTTTTACCCAAGAGGGAGGAGATGAGGACCAGGGAGTTGCTGAATGGAGAGCTGGAGAAGGACAGACGTTTTGGTCCATCTTCTGAGTCCAGTGCAGGGAAGCAGGGCAGCACTGCCAAAGGGGGTTCCTCTGCCCAGCAGCACCAGATCCACCAGCAGCAGAGCCCACGTCACTTTGAAGCTCGACATGTTGTGCTACCTGCCGAGTACACGCAGGACAGCACAGCCATGAGGACCTCATTGGTGCTGGTACCTAATAATCATAGCTCCACTAGTGCTGATTCTGGAGGTGCATCAGACAAGCTGCCTCCCTCGACATCCCACCATGAAAAAGGAGGGATTTGTGCTGGCAAACCTGTCTCCCGCAGTTCCTCCTTATCTTCCTCCCTTTCATTTGCTCTTCCCCCTCCACCTGTGGACAATCTTAAGGGAGCAGTTCCAGCGCAGTCTCCTCACGCAGTTATTCAGACCACACTTAACAGCACAGAGTCACTCTCTCTAAGCCTCCCCTCCACTAATTTCTACTCCACCCAGCAGCCTATCATTGGTTACTTTGCCGGCACAGGGCACCAGCAGCCTCTCAGCTACCACACCACCTTACCCCAGCACTTGGTCATCCCTGGAACTCAGCCGGTCATCATCCCAGTAAGTGGAACTGAAGCTACCGCTACATCAACTGCTGCACTGCCCCATGCTTTCGTCACCTCAACAGCCCCCAAAGTGGAGACTTTTGAGTCTCCGGCTCCATACCCCCACCCTGCCACAGCTATGGTTCAAGCCCAGTTGCATTTGCCTGTGGTTCCAGCAACTGCTGGCCTGCTGACAACTCCACCCCCACCCTCAGCTCCTTCAATGCCACCCTACTTCACCAAGGGCTCCATCATCCAATTGGCAGATGGGGAACTGAAGCGGGTGGAAGACCTGAAAACAGAGGATTTCATTCAGAGTGCTGAGATTAGCAACGAGCTGAAGATTGATTCCAGCACTGTAGAGCGCATCGACAGCAGTCATACAGCTAACTTTGCTATAATACAGTTTGCTGTAGGAGCGCAACGCTCACAGGTGGGTTCATAAGTTTTCTGTTTAACACTGCTGCTTGTAGACACATCTGAGCATCTGTTTTTCTGATACACAAAGATAAGCGGGGAAATAAACTTGAGATTGATGACTATGTGATATTAATCAAACACTGTGTACCATGTCTGTACGTGGTAGTAAAGGGTTTATTATTTTTAAAAAAATCTAATGGAGTTGACCTTTGCCTAAGTTTTAGGTGTGTGTACAGCAATTATATTGTCCTCCAAATATTATATATTGATAGCTTCTGTTTGTTTCTTGCCATCTCTGAAATTAGCATTTTTAACGATTTTTTAATGTTTATATGAACATTCCATAAATGTTTGTTGTTAAAGGTGCAGTAGGTGATTGTCTTCAGAAACACTTTTTGTTGTACTGGTTGAAAGTCTCTTTGCAGTCCAATAGTAATGATTACAGTAAATAATCTAAATGTGTTTATATGTATTTTTATATTCTGGTTAAGGCCTAAACCTAAAAAATGTTTATCCAATTAAATAGAGTCGGACCGACATCTCCCATAATTCCGATAAGCAGGTCAGATTGTCTGTCAGCAAATGTAGATTCGGACTTCTGCGCATCTGTTCACGCAGATCCGCCATTAGGACGTGCCCGTCTGCATAAGCGGCTGCGCGGTCACGAGACGGACCGGTAGAAATCAAATGCTTAATTGAAACTTTTAAAAACCTGAATCAGTATTGGAGTTACTTTAGCAGGCTGGTGGAAGGACGACATCATGGCTGAAGTATTACTGTTAGACATGTAATGTTCTGTTTTAAAACTATTTTAGTCAGGCTAAGCTTATGTTAGATTGTGTTCTGTTATGAATGACTTATATGCACAGACGTGTTGTTCAGACCCTGAAATCTCCCGGTGAAAGATTGATGTGATTATTTTCAGTTTCATAAGGTCCTTTTACAGTATCGATGATGTAGATCAGGGGTCACCAATCTCGGTCCTGGAGGGCCGGTGTCCCTGCAAGGGTTTTGCTCCAACTTGCCTCAACGCACCAGCCTGGATGTTTCAAGTATACCAAGTAAGACCTTGATAAGCTTGTTCAGGTGTGTTTGATTAGGATTGGAACAAAAATCTGCAGGACACCGGCCCTCCAGGAACAAGTTTGGTGACCACTGATGTAGATTTATGTTTAGTTTAACAACAAAACATCAGTAAATAGCGCTATTTTGCCTAGCCTACTTTATTGAGCTGAAGTTGCTTTTATATTCACATTGGGTCATTTTTGAACAATGACAGCCTTCCTATACTGTTTACCATGCTACTCTGAATAATCTGTCTGAAATAGCATGTAAGTGTGGCTAAGTAGTAAATGTAATTCCCGCACGGCGCTGGCACTAACTAACTGGCGAATGACAAGAACTAGTGGGTTGTCTGTCTGCTGTTGTAACGCGGTGCGCGCGCTCGCGATTTCAGGGGGTGTGGCTTTGAATCACAGTCCCTCCCCGCCGTCCAAAGATAATATGCTAAGGGGTTATCATTTTGGCAGATCACCTACTGCACCTTTAATTATATACAGTGCATATTTGAAGTACTGTATATCATTTACATTAGAATCCAAATTGCAGTTATTTGAATCATGCCATTATATGAGGTGTGATTACAGTTGAAATATCTTGGCAAATTGGCCAAATATTATGACGGTTTCATAATATGCAGATGGATTCCAAAGATGGGTAATTTAATTTCATGTTTAACAATTGTCAGTTAAAAATCTTTACAGCATTTGCAAATGCCCAGGGATCTTTTTTTTTTACTTTACATCTTCCGTGCAACTTCATCATCTCGTTTTGAATAAGCATATGGTAGTCATTAAGTTTATATTTTTATATGCTGTGAGAGTGTGAATGTCCCCTTATATGAACTCCACCTGCACTCAATCAGTGTAAGTAGATGTGGGGCAAATTGGCAGCTGAAATCATCTCCCTGTTCCATAATCCCTCCCCTGGCTGTCCCCATGGCATCTTTGTTTAGTTTGTGTGGGATTCACTGGCAGAATTGAGTCATTCCTTATTTCTGCTTCCTTCTGTTGTACTGTGAGTGGGCTGTATGAAAAATCTGCTTCATTTGTCTGGGAGTTGAGATGGGGCCACCCACTCGAAAGCAGTTCTAAAGTCTGTCATTTCGAGAGGCACTGATTAACAGATGCTTTTTAGCAAAGACATTCATTCATATCATCAGGCATTTGTGCACGACTTCTACTTTCGGAAGTCATTGTCCTCTCTTTTTGACTCCCTTTTTCTTTTGCAGGTCAGTGTGGAGGTACTAGTAGAGTATCCTTTCTTTGTGTTCGGCCAGGGCTGGTCATCTTGTTGTCCGGATCGGACTACTCAGCTGCTCGAGCTGCCATGCACCAAGCTTTCAGTGGGTGACGTCTGCATCTCCCTCACCCTGAAGAACCTGAGGAACGGTTCCATCAAGAAGAGCCAGGGGCAAGTCTTGGATGCACCTGCACTCGGTCCACCTCTTAAATCACCAAAAGCACTCTCAAGTGGCGCACGAGGGGGTGTTCGGCACACAGAACAGGAAAATGGACTCGGGCAGTGTGCAGATCAAGGAAGTAGAGGCGGTCAAGGCAATAGAGAAAACGGAGAACTGAGGTTTGGTGAAAGGGACAACTGCAAAGCTCCAACACTCACAGAATCAGAGACCAGCAGTAAACCCACAGGTCGAAAAAGAAGGTGGTCCGCCCCTGAGGGTCGTAAAGTAGAAAATCCAGAAGGAGAGCCCCCTTTAACGTTCCCTAAGCCTTCTTTCATCCCTCAGGAGGTTAAAATCAGTATCGAAGGCAGATCAAATATTGGAAAGTGAACATGCGTCGGACTGTCCGCTTTTAAAATTGCAAAATTTGCCCTCAGAATGTTTTTAATTGTTCTGTTGTCCAGATTTTTTTTCCTAAAGGCAAAATTTACTCAGTATCTATGTTATCACATCTAACATTGTAATAGAGGAATTCAATTTTACACAGGCAATTGGTGCATTTCAATTGATTGGTCAAATTCAAGGTGGATGTAGAGCAAGGTGAGAAGGTTGTGAGACGGCATGTTATCCTGAAGGCTCCGGCATATAAAATTACTCACAGCTGACAAGACGTCTCTCTAGTCTCTCACCTACGAAATTCTTTTGGCTTACAAACGACACTTAGTGGCAATTAAAACATTCGCTTGCTGAACCTGAAAATGTTAGTAAGGGAAGATGAACAAGTGGTGTGAATATGGTGGCAGAACGGAAATCACTCCTCCACTGGTTGCAGGAGTTTACATGATGTCAGCCATCTTGTTTAACTGTGACTACAAGAGACTATCCAAATCGATCCTAACAATATAGAGCAGTATGGTCAGCACAGTTAGAATAGCAAAGATTCTGGTAACGTTTATTGAAGTGCAAAAAGAGGTTTCCAAATACTATGGTACAGGCCAAGAGAGATGATGTCATTGAGCGGTGCCAGTTTGCTCCTCAGAAAAGACAAAACTATCACTTTAAACAGGGAAGATGGACGAATCTATTTTTATATATCCAACTGTCTAACCTTTTATTTGACTATTTTTGTAGTTTTGCATGTCTTACTTTTCAAACCCTCCTATCATACCTGATGGGTAGATTTTTCTTATGTTTCCCTCCCTTTTTTTGTGATGAATGTGTCAACCTTGCAATCAGGGGTCATTTTTTTGTATGTAGACACAGAATGGGTTCTTGTCTATGAATATATATGCATGGATGTATCTTGATGCATACAAACACAATGGGTGAGGAAATCGACCAGTCTTTTGTTTTAGTGCAGTCTCGGCTGTTTTGATTTCGTTTAAAGAAGAGAACGTTGATTATTTTGAAAGAAAGAGTTGGAAAGTTGGCTGCGAAGGATGAGGTGTGAGTGCTGAAGCACTTAACTAATACGCCTGTCACTGATAGTAGTTTCAATCAACCGAATGAAATAATGATTTATTATTGTTATTAATATTGCTACAACTATTTTCTGTTGATTTTTTTCAATTTAAACACAGTACTGTATGCTGTATCATCAATTGGATGTTGAGTGACTCTGGAAAGACGATAGGGTCACAGTGAAGGAATGAATGTAAAAGGTGATCAAAGAAAGAGAGATTTTGTCCTCATGAGGATTGCTTTAAAGGAAGCACTTTTTAAAGATTGGCTAAGCCATCTCAAGCAAGTTGAGTAAAGATGACGAAACAACTGCCATTTAAGTCATTCAAAGCGAGTCGAATGAAAGTATGAATGCGAATAAGGATGGAATGGAAATACGTACAGAGACTGTTTATATATTTACGAGAGATACGAGAGACAAAGTGTAAGTGAGAAACTCTGGCTACGGTAATCTTTGGAGGATCGAAGAGTGTCATATACTTGTTTGTTAGCAATGTGTGTGATCGTGCCCGCATGCGAGTTTGTGTGCAGCCGCACACAAACACATGTACACACGGTTACGGTGATTTTCAGTCGTGTTGAAATAGACATGTCATGTATTTTTTGTACATTAATGTGTATAGAACTGCATATGCTATATCTATCTTACTGTATGAGAGCGCAAGACTACATGAGCACGTTTTTAGTCCCGTCCCCCAAGACACTGACTCATCGAACGTATGTGAAAGCAATCATGTAGTCATTTCAGTTTTGTGTGAGTGCGTGTGTGTTTGGGTGTGTGCATGTGTGTGTACATACCACACATATTATAAATAGATATTTAAGTTCTACTTAAAAGAATATTGCAATTTGCACATCTGGAGAGATAGTAACATGATTTATTTTGTTTTCTGCCAGCAAAGACAGGGCCGAAAACCAGATTTTTACTGAAATGTAGCAGTTTCTTGGCAAGTTTGTTTAGTTCGCGGGTCTGTTAGGTTCATTTTCATTAGGAAAACCAGGAAGCTCCTTTTCTGGAGGGTTTGAATGAGCAGGATTTTTTTGCACGGTGCTATGTTGAAGAGTTCGCTCATAGCCTGTAGTCTGCATACTTGTCAAGTCGTTCGAGTGGCCACACTCAAGTTAACTTGGGTAGGTGAAAATCTGGCAGGAAGATGGGTTGTAGTAGAGAATAAAAGATGAATGAATGGATTTAATGAGTGGTGGAGGGTGGGTGAGTGAGTGCACCCCATATACAATTTGAAAATGCTTTATTTTTTATAATAAAACAGGGTTTCTCAGATCAACACCACAACCATGCATTTTTTTCCCTTTTTTTCCATTGGAAATGTCTCCACTTCTGTCTTTTAACTTGTGTGTGGGAGTTTTACTTGGATTATATGTGTGAATGTATCCGTTTCAACCAATCAAACTTGATATTTTCATTGTGTTCGACGTTTATTTTGGGCCAAACGCTAGAAATATTGTTTGTCCGTTGAACCACCCCAAGAACAGAACTGTCGATGGCGGTCTCGCATTTTTGTCTGGTTTTTCCAATCTGTTCCCTTTGTCCTTCTCTTCATGTAATGATCAGTGTTTTCAATGTCGCTCATTGCTTCAATCATTTAACAGTCTGCCTCCTTCTGGTTGCACAGTGTGGTTCCACGTACGCATGAGAAGCATTCCGAACAACGGCACGTAGCAATAACCCTTAGTCTCTAGTGCTGAACCAAAAATACAAAAAAAAAAACACAGACATCAACGCCAGACCTTCTGTTCGACCTCAGCAAGCTGTTTTTTTATCCTCTTTAGGTTGATTTGCAGTTTGCACAGCCGGCCCTCAGTAACTTCAGGGAGAAATGTAAATTAATATGCAGTGACAGAGTCTGTCCCCTCCTAGCCGTCTTAACCCGTAATCTATAGTGACCTCTAGATGCTCTTCAGGTGCCCATACAGAACCAGTACGCCTCTCTCAGAGTATGTTTACCCAACCGCAACCGTTAGCTACCTTCTGTTGCCTGGCACGTACGTTTGACCGCTTTCTCACAAGGCACAACCACCTACAGTTCCTACAGTTTCTCTCTTTTTAGCTGTCTTTCACATTCATAGCCATATAACCTTGACAGTATTTTTGACCGAGTTTCATGTCAAATTTAGGTTTCGGGGTTTCAGGGGAGAATTCTAATTCATTCACTTGTACTCGCTCTGTTATCGTCAACATGAATTGATAGTTGAACCCATTTTACCCCCACAGTGTGGTATGTTTCAGGGTTTGCAATAAGGAACAGAAGGTTTTTCATGGTAAATCAAAATCGAGTTTACTGAAATAACTAAAATATGACGTCATGTCATTGGGAAAGTAAATTTGTTTTGTCTGGAGGACCATGTACTTTTTAAAAATAAAGGCTCCAATCTTGACGCCATAGAAAAATATTTTGGTTTTCTCATAGACACTATAAGTTGAAGGGTTTCTAAGACACAGGTGTCAAACTCAGTTTCTGGAGGGTGGCAACTCTGCACAGTTTAGCTTTAACCCCAATTAAACACACCTAATCAAACTAATTGAGTCTTTCAGGCTTGTTTGAAACCTAGAATGTGTTAAAGCAGGGTTGGAACTAAAATGTGCGGAGCTGCGGTCCTCAAGGAACTAAGTTTGACACCCCTGGTCTAATTCCTTTCATAAAGAATTTTTAAAAGATTTCCTAAAACCCCTTTTTAACTGTAAAGAACCTTCTTTGTGGTACAAAACATTGAAGGTTCTTCATGGAACCATTGATGCCTATATTTTTAAAAGCGCAGCAATTTATCTCTTACAATAAGACCTAGAAAGATGAATTATATATATTTTTTTTTCTGTTCAGCCAATCTTCGGGTTGGGCAGCACTTTTAGCTTAGCTTAGCATAAATCGATGTTTTTGATTCAACCATTAGCATTTTTGCGAGTTTGGTCATTACACCTGCTGCAGCAAAGTTCCTTGATTATTACATCGGAATGAGAGTATAGTAGCTAGTGGTGTAATGGATCACAAGTCTCACGGTTTGGGTCACGCTATGGTTTTTTAGTCACGGATTGGACCATTTTTCGGATCAGCCAAAAGGAAGAGGAGACAAATGTAATTTGCTTTGCATTTAATACAAAAACAGTACTGCAAGACACTTTTGGTTTTAACAAACAGATCTTAGAACCTGTAATTTTATTTAAAAATATATATATAATAATAATAATAATATGAAGAAATAATCAGCTGAACAAAAATAAACTGTCAAATATTCATTACTGTGAAAAATTCACTGTTGCTACTACAGTTGCTGATAACGCTAAATGTAGAAATGTAACATCATAATTTGTACAACCCATATTTATTTTTAGTCTTATTTCAAATAAACGATTCGGTTATTCACTAATTAAACTTTGCGTTTCATTGCTAGATGTATTATTTTTTAACAATTATTCAGTGGCATATTTTTAATGGCTTGTTGTCACCACCTATTGGTTACATAATGTAGTTGCTGCCTATAACTTTCATTTTTGAGAGTCTTTAAATGCATACGATGGTGATTTTAATCTTTACCATAAAAACTAATTGCTTTATCTAAACTGTAAACTGTTATCCCAGTACTTCTGTGTAATTTGACTGTTTGACTTCATAACTAACTCAAAAAACTAAAGACACAATCTCATTCTTGATTTTTGCGTTTTCAGATTTGAATGCAGCGATTCGAAGGATTAAATCACCAATCATAATTTAGGTTGCGTGGGTGTTGAGATCCCGATCTTTTGATGATTAATTGAGTAGCTGAATTACACTGAATGGATTAATGCAGGCTAAACAAATAGTGACAGAAAACACCTTTAATAACCTAAGAAACCCACTACATCCAGAATAACCTGCCACAACTTTTTCCATCATCATTATATTTTATAGGGAAGCCTAAATGCTTTCATACATAAGATTTGAATAACACAAGAGGCAATCTCTCTCTGACCATTACAAATTTAGGATTAATCTACCAGTTAAAAAGTGTATTAGTTCGTGAGCCACATGTGTTCCGAACCGTGGGTTGTGATCCATTACACTAGTATCAAGCCATATTTGCCTGTAAAATAGCAACTTTTCATTTTCTGTCAGTTTTACACATAGTGTAACTACAAAAGAGTCCAGTGTTAAACAGGGAAATCAAAACTCAATCTGATTCAACAATCTAAGCTAAATGTGCCCTCACCTAACCCAAAGATTGGCTGAACGGATTGAAAAATGGTAAAACTCAGCTGTTTAACTGAAGGAGAGTTCAAAAATTAGCCTTTTGTTATAAGAGTGTTTCTTTAAGCGAGTATGATTTTTGATTAATGTTGACAAGTGTCACTTGTTGTGAACCAGGAGGTAAACAAGTGTACTCGTTCAACCCAGTTATGCAATGAGTTTGCATTATCAACATCTGAGCAACCGTATCGCCTACTGTTTGGGAATAAATCCAGCTGCGAATGAACTAAATACGCTTGACGTTGATGACCTGAATGAATGAAACATCACAGATGCTGTGCGCCGTCGCATTTGATGGTCATCACAAGAAGAATAAAAGATGCACATGGTACAGCTGGAGGTTTATTGTACTGATAACGATCGTCTCTTGTGACCTCCAGTGTCGAGAGATGAGACACAAAATAACAGAACATTATTAGTAGCAGCCGCTATTTTTTTTTAGTCACAAGATAATCAATCCTCACAACTCTTCTGTTTCTGTTACACGTGTAACAGTTTGTGCCATCTGTATGTAGCACTGTTTCTGTGGTTTGCAGTCCTTTGACTTGTATGCTAGTAAGCGTAAAACCATCTGTAGCTTGTGGGTTTAAGATTTTACTTTGCTCCATGCAAGTAAATTGTGTTTTTCACTTTATAGTGAGCCCCCCTGATCTCTCATTGTTTTGCACAATCCTGCGTTATTGTTTCTTTGGCAGAGGGGTGAGTTTGCTATCTCTGACGTTATGACGACATCATTTGCTTTTCTGTTTAAGGTCAAAAATCTTTCCTTGGGCTTACTCAGGGAATGGGAAATAGGTGTGAATGTGTGTGTTGAGGAGGTAGTGTGACCTTTGAAAGGTTTGTGTACATGTAAAGAGATAAATATATATTCTTGTGTGTGTTAAACTGCTGTAACCAGAAGCAGTCATTTCATTGGCCCTGTGCTTTGGTTTCCCACAATGTCTCTACACCATATGAGGCCTTCTTAACACACTCTGTCTGTCTCTGTGTTTTCGGTTTGTCCGTCTGCATCACAATCTGTCTGTTGTCTCCTCTGACGTCACGAGCCCAGATCCTCACACATGCAAGATACTGGAAAAAAAAACAGAAATGAAAGACTGAGAAACGATTCATCAACCTCATCAAAGTGGGGACCACTTTTATAGAAACAAACGAAAAACAAAATGCACATTTTTTTTTTGTCATTTATAGAATAGATAGACTTGATAATACTGTTTCAGCACTTTCTAATCCTGAGTAAGATAAGGGTGAGAGAGAGATTGGTGTCATCATGGTTTCTCCCCTCCAAATTACTCCGTCTCGGCCCGTTCCTGGGTCCAACAGGTCGAGACGACGTGGACAGAGTTGAAAATATGGTCCTCTATGAACCTGAGATGACTCTTTTTTGTTGTTGTTGTTGTTGTACTGATGTGTGCACCATCATTCTGTTTTCTTTGTTTTTATTCGATATTTGACCTTGCTTCATGTACTTTGGACGTTGTACTTTTGCTTGGGTCTCCTCTGTAGCACTCTTTTATCATGGTTGGAGACGAAGAGAGATGTTTAATGAATGTTTTTTAAGAGCGCCTTTGTGACCGCTCAAAAGAGGAGACAATTTCCTTGTTTTAATTTTCATTTTTCTGGCACAGATGACGAAAAAAAAAGAGACGAATGTTGGATTGGGAGTTTGAAAGAAAATAAATCAAACGTTTTTCTTTTATTTTATTGTGGCTCTCATTGAAAACAAACTGAGTTTGCTTTTCTTTTACATTAATTGTACAAAGAAAGAAAGAAAGAAAGAAAGAAAAAATCAGTCAGGATTTCTTTGTTCAACTTGACTGTTGTTTGACATTTTTTGTCAATTCTTGTCCAAACCGCTGGATTAATAACCTCAGGCTGAGAATCTTCTACAAGCCCACGTTATGGTTTCCTTTCGCTCTCTATGGGCTGCTTGATATGGGTATTGTAATTAGTCTTATTGTTAATTAATATACGAGCGTTCAGCTATACATCAGTGCTGGATAGTGAAAACAGTGCACACTCCTCTCTCGTCGATTTGATCTGACAAACACTTTTCCCTCACAGAGAGAGTGGTACATCCTGCGCAAGAAAAGAGACTTGTCGTTCTGGTCAAACTTGACGCTCAACCCTGGTCATCCACGGAGAACTAAACACCAGGGGGATGTACTGACCATCACAGGCCCCATGTACAGATGCTGTTCTCACAAACCCGATGTCACCTTCACGCATAGCAATCAACAGCCTCTTGTGTATTTATCCTTCAGAATTTCTACAACATATCTTCGAAGAAAAAAAACAACAGCTCATTTTTGTAATTTGCCAATGAATGCTTGTAAAAAAAAAAACTCTGTACTCTGTAAAATCTTTATAGGCCTAATTTTAACATGTCAGTGTTTAGATTCTGATGAATAAACCTCCCCGTGGTTTTTAAAAGCTGAGGCCAGATACACAAACCTATTAGCTGGAGGTGAAATAACACTATGTACTTCTTGTCAGGTGAAATGGCGTTTGGTTGTCATTAAATGTGCACGCATGTCCAGCCACCTCTAGTTCTTTTTATTTTATCTTCTGTTGTTTTCCCTTTCGAGATTGTGTACACAGGAAGCCATCGGTCATTCCTCAGGAAGGAGTGGGGTTCGTATGAAGCAGTAATACCACGGGCTAGAGGTGTTGCGGGTCTTGTCATAAAGAGATTTGTAGTCTTCCATTTGGAAGGGAAATGGAAGCTGTTTTTTAGTTTCTTTTTTCACTTGACATTGGGCAGAAACCTCCACGATTATAAAATTTTCGGATTGAAGCTTTACCTATTGTTTAAAACACTCAGATGGGTTGTTTTTTTCATAGTTTCAGGATTGTTGGACCTATGTTCACGCAGATATGTTAAGCGAGACTGTTAAAAAGAAAAAATGAATGTCACATCTGATCCGGAGGTTTTATTTTCTGGGAATCGCATCCAAGAATTCTGGCCAGTAGCAAGCGATGGTTGTTGGGAGAGGATGTAGTGTTTTGCACCTTATTTAATAAAGGAAAATAGATGAAAAAAAAACACCTTTGGGTAGGAAATAATTCTGAAAGGCAATTTTTGTTTTGTTCTTTTTTTTTTTTTTTTTGATTCATTTTATTTCCATATGCGTGCATACTCTCTGTAAGTTGTGTAAAATATTGTACTTGCACTAGCTTTTTTAAAAAAGAAAACTAATATAAAAAAATATTTGAATTGAAAATCTATTTTCTAATTGTGGTGTGTCTATTTGTAGGATACACTCACGTTGTTTCTTGGATTTTTTTGGTCCCTTTCTTTGATGGTGCTTGCCGGTTTTCTAGTTAGAACTTATTTCATTATTCTGAACAACAAAACAATATTTGATTCAGGTTGTGAACAAATTTGTTTCAAAAGAAATTGTCTGTATACCAGTACAAGTTTATTGTTGCAGTATACACGTACTAATAAAAATTACAGTGCCAATTGCAAACTGCACCCTTTTTTTTGTGTGTGCTTTGCTTTTGTCAGACAGATTGGGCTTATTATAATCATCGCACAGACAAACGGGAATTAATTGTCTCAAACAAATGCACACAGAGGTATTCCACAGGCTTCTTTGACTCGGCTCACCTAGTCAATGGAGTGTGGGTGTTGGCGGAGGTGGAGGCCTTGAGTATTCGCTTCTCGTTTTCAAGCTGGAGCCTTCATTTGAAAAAGCGGAGATGGAAGATATTGAGATCCTATCAGACACCACAAACCCACACTTGACTGTGAGAAACGGCACAATGAGCGCTGAATGATTCAGCTCGTGATTCAGTTTTTTAAGTTGCCATTTAGTCGATCCTACAATATGGTATTCTAAAAAAAAAATTACAGAAATATCTACATTATGAATTCCCACTCATGCATGGAACACTTGGAATAAACTTTGTGTCACTCTGGAATACTTCATTCACTGTAAGAAATGCTGGGTTCCACACAATTGATTTGTGTTGGGTGAACATGAAGTTGTTTTTACAAATTTGACTAGATTGAACATATCAACATGAACAATTAAGGTAAGAGTTGTGTTTCAGCTCATTTTAAATAAGTAGTTTGAACAAACGGCAAACATAATTTTTTGTGGTCTGATTCATTGATTACTGCATTCAGTCTTAAAGGGCACCAATGATGAAAAATCCCTCTCATTTTGAGGCCGACTACAATGTGACAGAGTGTGTTTTCCCCGCCCACCGAATTGTTTGACAGACGCATTTTAACATGCCTCTGTAGTAACGTGCATAATCATGTCAACAAGACGAACTTACGCAAAGCTACTGGGATTAAACTTGACACGAATGAAGCGAGTAAACTCAAAATGTTCATGCGTCTATTTTAGCCCCGCCCATGACATGAATCCGTGTCTGTTGTGAAGTGAATTTGATGCACAAATGAAGCAAATAAACTCAAAATGTTCACGCGTCTATTTTAGCCCCGCCCATGATGCGAATCTGCATCTGTTGTGAAGTGAATTTGACGCACGAATGAAGCAAATAAGCTCAAAATGTTCATCCGTCTTTTTTAGCCCCGCCCATGACGCGAATCTGCATCTGTTGTGAAGAGAATTTGACATGCGAATGAAGCTAATAAACGCAAATTTTACTTTACCTTGAAGCGAGTAAACTCAAAATGTTCACGAAGCGAGTAAACTCAAAATGGTCACGAAGCGAGTAAACTCAAAATGTTCACGAAGCGAGTAATCTTAAAATGTTCACATATCTATTTTAACCCCACCCATGCCGCGAATCCACATCTGTTGTAAAGAGAATTTGACGCATGAATTAATCGAGTAAACAAATTTTACTTTAGTTTATTCGCCCATGATGCAAATCTGTGTCTGTTATGAAGTGAATTTGACGCACGAATGAAGCGAGTACACTTAAAATGTTCACGCGTCTAATTTAGCACCGCCAAGTACGTGAATCCACATCTGTTGTGAAGTGAATTGAAGTGCGAATGAAGGAAGTAAACTTAAAAGGTTCACGCTGACAGAGACAGACATGGATGAAGCTCATTAGACAAAAATACCAAGTAAGTTTATTTCATGCATTTGTGGTCAAGTTTATTCAAGCCATTCTGAAACTTTAAGTCCCACACGAATGCTGTTTGCATTATACACACACACACGGTTTTACTGACATTATGCGGCCGTGGTGATTATAGCAGTTGAGAATAAGATAGTGATTTTACTGTCTTTATTACAAACAGGCTGTTTAAAAAAAATGTTAAAAATAAAAAAACTTTTAAACTTGTGTTCTGTGGACGTGTGTACATGTTATTATAGAAACAAGGCACCTGTCAATTTATTCGGTGGACGAAGAAAACTACACCTACGTCACGTTGCAGTGGGCCTCAAAACCACAGTGTAGTGGGGAGGGGGGGAAGGGGTTACATGATTAACATGAAATCAATAAAGTTTCTACCTCAAAATAATATGATCACAAAGACAGAAGGGTATATGTAACGCGTTGTTCATTCAGATTTTTATTCATCCATATTTAATATTCGACATATTTAATAAAGTACTTCCACCTCATCATCAAAACTGCACAAGGCATGTTGTAGAAAGAGGTGCAGCAGATTTCACATTCCTCTGGTCTGATATGACATCCCACCGCACCCACCGTACAATCACAAAGCAGGCCAGCAGAAACACTTCACAACAGCACACAATGCACCAGTCACAGCTCAAATCAACTCAAACGTACAATACGGCACACGGGGCTTAGCTTATACGTGGCGGAGAAGAATCCCTGCTAGTGTGTAAGTTCTCCACAAACATGCATTTCTTTCACTCAAGGGAGTTGCATAATTACAAAGAATGAATCATCTCGCCTCACTATTGTCCTGTCGAGAGGCTTATAGGATGCTTCCTTATTGTGTCTCATGCAGACCCATTAGAGAACTTGAACAAAACTGAGCCATGCTGCAACATTTTCTGGGTTTCCAAAGAAATGTATTGGTATGCAGCAAGATTCCTGAGCAAAAGAGTTATCTAAGGGGTCTCCCTCGATGTGTTACAATGTTATGTATGATGCTAAAGTAAACAAAATTGGAAGACAAATGGATATTTGATTATGTATATTTTTTTCTTATACATGCCTGGGCTCATTTAAAGGGACAGTCTACCCGGATTGCTGTATTGGTTTCTCATTGATGACCCTGACACCAATTTCCATCAACACTCACTGATGTTGCCCATTGGGTAACCGTCAGCTTGGTGTGTCACTGCTCTTAAAAATAAAGGTTCCAAAAGAGGAGTCAGATCAGTCTCGGAAATAATAAATTTACAAAATAAAATGCATCCATCCACAACACAATTCACATTTACAAAGTCCAGTTTGAACGTTTAAAATTTGATAAAAAAAAAATACAAATTCAGTTCGTAAAACGTTCATTAAAGATGCAGTATGTAAGTTTGACACCCAGTGGTTGAACTAAGTATTGCACACCAGGCTCAAAACGCACACAAGCACAGGTTGCCAGATTGATGACACCAACAGGAGTGTGCTTGACTGTCGAGTCTAAAGGTTGATGTTAACAGTGTTTTTGTCCTAAGCAACACCTGAAGAAATTAAATGGCTTCTATTTCTTGCAGCTGAACAAAAGAAAACTGACAATGATCACCCCAGGTACTCCTCATGTGCTTTATTCAGTGTTAAATGCTAATAATGTGAGGTTAAATGCCATTTTACATGACATTTATTGCCTGACAACTGAAAGCAGCAGCAGATAGTTCACCTCAGATCTTGAAAATATATTAATTTATTCATTCATTTTCTGGCTTAGTCCCTTTATTAATCTGGGGTTGCTACAGTGGAATGAACCACCAACTTATCCAACGTATGTTTTACGCAGCGGATGCCCTTCTAGCTGCAACCCATCTCTGGGAAACATCCATACACACTCATACACGATGGACAATTTAGCCTACCCAATTCACCTGTACCGCATGTCCTTGGACTTGTGGAGGAAACCGGAGCACCCGGAGGAAACCCACACAAGCGCGGGAAGAACATGCAAACTCTACACAGAAACGCCAACTGAGCCAGCCGAGGCTCAAACTAGCAACCTTCTTGCTGTGATGCGACAGCACTACCTACTGCGTCACCTTAAAATATATTAAACTGTTTGAAATAGAGTTTTAGAACTGTGACTCAGTGCAAGCCAACACATATCAGTAATTCAGCATGTACATTTAACCATTTAAAGAGGTTTAATATTTATTCATTAGATTATAAACCTTACAAGTTTGTTGGATTGCAGTGAGTGCACTATTCTGTGCTTCTGAATGGTTGTAGTTAAATTTCTGTTGCGTTGCCAAATTGCCAACACTCCCATTTTTCTCAGGAGTCTCCTGTATTTCAGACCCATTTCCCACGACCCTCCTGTTTTGTAATTTCTCCCAGAAAAATCCTGTAATTTCACAAACATACACACACACAATCCTCAGCTTTTTAGTACAGTCGATAACAAACCCGGGTTGCTGACTTTAGTTTAGTATCCGCCCTCCTGAAACCCGGTGCATAGTACAGTTAATAACCCTGTTCTCAGCTGTGTTATTCAGACATCTAACCCCTGACACCTTGCCACCAACCCCCACCCCATTTTTATACTTTAGAAGAGTCAAAGCTTACATACAGCACCTTTAAAATGTTCTTAACACTCTGAAGAAGAAAAAAAAAAGAGCCAAAAATTGTTCTTCTATGCAATCACTATGAAAACTCTCTTTTGGAACCTTTTTAAGAGTATGTATGTGTATTACTTTACAGGTGACTCTGTATTTGTGAGTGTGCATGTTTTCAGCGATGCGTGTCTAGGAGAACATGTGGCTAGACTGCTGTGTGACTCTGATGAAGGTCGTCCTGCGGCTCAGTTCTTTCAGTTTGGCAGCTCCTACATATGTGCAGGTGGAGCGCAAGCCACCCAAGATGTCCCTGATGGTGTTTTCCACATCACCTTTGTAGGGCACCTGGACCGTCCTGCCCTCAGATGCCCTGAAATCACAAACACATGTACATGTACACCTGTTGTGGTTTTTAAAGTCTCCTTTAACAAGTGTTTTGACATGCACTAAAACCTCAAAATAAATAGCCATGCCTTATAAATGCATGAAACATCCTCACCTGTACTCTGCAACCCCTCCGACGTACTTCTTCATTGCGGTGTCTGAACTCATGCCATAAAACAGCTTGAACTTCTTACCATCTTTCTCAATGACTTCACCAGCGCATTGATCATGTCCTGCTAACATTCCTCCCAGCATGACAAAATCTGCACCAGCACCTGAGGTAAGGCATTATTAGACAGGTTACTGTTATATACTGGAATGGCCGCTGTATTGGATTTTATACACTGGTTGTTGGAAACATTAAACCACAGAAACTGAATTCACCAAAAGCTTTGGCAACATCCCCAGGGCAGCTGCAGCCTCCATCCTAGAAAGGGAAAAAAGTTGATTTGCTATATGGTCATAAAACACTGAACAATTGAAAAGGCACATTTACATTTTACAAAGCTATTGGAACAATTTCCACAAAATGCACATTCGAGTGTAATTTGTTCAACTTGATTGTGCATTTTCATGGATTAAAATATAAGTTACTTGAACAGTTTTTTTTTTTAAATAACATTATTAATAATTGTGTGTTGTGGGGATTACATTTCTTGTCAAAACTCAGAAACGACGACAACATATCAATTTACAAGACGTTTCTCGATAGCTTTAGGTTTGAACAACACTGGTGAGCCGTTGGTCACAGTTTATTTTCTGCAATATCCAAGAGCTAAAGCATAAATTCTGTTGAGAGAACCAGGGTGATGATGGCCTACATAAATATACAATCACTCACTCCCTTCTTATTATGACAGCGAGTAAAATATGAAGTTATAAAGAGCTAGTTTGACTTTTAATAAAGCGTTCAACTGAGAAGATAAGTAAACAATGTAATGATATTGATGATGCTGCCCTCTTGTGGTAATGTGTTGTAACTGGTTTGTGGGTTCCCAACTGTAAACCTACAGTAGACTACACTCATCAAGCCATCTGATGACTAGATACACATTTCAGCTCTTCGTTAATGCAAATATAAGCCAATCACATGACCGCAAATCCATTTAGGCATGCAGATGTCATGAAGAGGATCTGCTGAAGTTCAAACAAAGTATTGGAATTAATAAGAAAATTTATTTAATGTGACTGAACGTAGATACTTGAATTCGGTACCAATCGATACTGAAATTTTAAAAACATATATTTCCCGCTGACATTTGAGTGCTGGGAGGCAGGTGTATACATTCTTAAACAGCGCTGATTTGGCATTGTGTTCACATGCTCAACAGAAATGAATGTGAACTTCATCACTGTTTACTGAGTGCAACCACAGATAAAGGAACACAGTGTTTTTTAAAGCCACGATTCATCAGCGAATCGCTCGTATGTCAGCTTATAGACAAACCAGCTGATCGACGCGACAAATGCTCCAGTGTTCCTGTATCTGTGGTTACACTCAGTAAACAGCGGAGAGTTCAGTGAACTGACGACCTTCATGGCCAGTCACAGTCTTTTCTGTTAAGCATGTGAACACAATGGCAAATCAGCGGTGTTTAAGAACGTGCACAGTAGCGCTCAATTGTTAGCGAAAATTGACGTTCTAAAAATTTCAGTAACAATTGGTATCGAATTCCAGTATCGTGATAACCCTAACTGAATGTGGTATGATGATTGGTGCCAGTGCTCCTACCTTGTTAGATTGTTCTACCTCCCATTCAAATAGTAGGTAGCACATTTTGATGATTTTAATGTGGAGTACTGTAATATGAAGCTGTAATATACTGTTGCCCTAAACTATCTAATTCCTAACCCCAACTTCAGAACAGATCAAATACAGTGTTGGTAGCATAATCTGATGGGTAGGATATGGTTGCGGGCTTCATTTTGCCCTTCATTCCATTTGCTTTCATTCGATTCTTTTGTTTATTAAATAGACAATTAACCAACAAAAATGTATCAAAATTAGGATAAAAATTAAACCATATCTAACAAAATTCATTATAAAACAATAATCTGTCACCAAAAAATACACGTTGGTCAAATTGTGTGTCTGACCCATTCTTCCGGTTCCATTTCCACACCTTTATAGCGTTCATAAAACAGAACACCAAAAATGTATGCCTAAACAATAAAATGACTACAACATGTGGTCTAATATTTCAGAAACTGCTGATCTACTAATATATTCATGCATAACCATGTCTAGGTTTTAAAAAACCTTCATAATAAGGTTATTGACACACCAGAGAGCTTAAAGAACAGTTTTAGAGTTGCTTTTTGTGACGAGTTTTGATTTCTGCTGCATCATCCAGATGGTAGGGTCAGAATTTGGCATAAACAACATGAAAGCATCATCCATTGTGCCTTGTGTCAGTGGTTCAGGTTGCTAGTGGAGTAATAATGTGGGTAAGATTTTCTTGGCATGTGATGCATGTATTCTGGGACTGTGACATGATAAAGAAACACTGGAAAGAAATCCACAAATTAGTTCAGAAGATAATAGGTAAACCTTTTGCCCTTTCTTCAGCTGTTTATCTTCTGAATCGTAAAACTGCTCTACAACTTAGTCATGGACTAGAATCTGTGTTACACTTTTGTACATATCTTGCAAGAAAATGTATTCTTTTGTTGTGGTCCTCTCCTAACATTCCTTCTGTTAATATGTGGATAAATCAGATTTTGAAAAAACATTTTCTTACCCTTGGAAAAACTGACGTATGACTTGCGTCAGAAATCTGATGATTTCTGGCATATCTGGAATCCTCTATGGGAGTTTTTAGAGAATGTATCTTGATTTTTATTTAATTTTTATTTTAATTTATTTATTTTTTGCTAATTTTACCCTTCACAAAAGACTTGAAATACTAGCCAATGCACAATTGTATAATAGCTATATTATTGTATATGATGACATGAGACACCTATACCACTGTTCTGTCATTGTATATCTTTAAATAAAAAATAAATAAATAAATAAATAAAAATAAATAAATAAAACAGATTTTCTTGGCAAATTTTGAGTCTCTTAGACTGAGCATAGTATAAATATCCCAACCTACTCGAGTATTGTTGCTATTGATAACAATCCCTTTATGACCACCACAATAAACCCATTTCATCATGGTTACTCCCAGCAGGACAACACTTCATAACATAAAACTTGAATCATCTCAAAGGTTTCTTGAACAAGAAAATGAGTTCTCTCAACAGATCAGCTGGAACTGGAGATTCGAATAATGGATATGCAGCCAACAAAATCTCAGAGAAACATGCAGTATTTAGCACGTTAAATCAATACCTTGAAAAAAAGAGGAGCTCCAACTCAGTGTACCTAATAAAGTGGCCAATGAGTGTATGTATTGTCTATGTATGTATTCCATTACAATATGGCCTCATGCTGAATACTGCCAAAAGACTCACAGAGATGATGTGTCCTTTCAGTCCATGGGCCGAGTCAGCACACTCGATAACAGCGCTCAGCTGAGGATAACCCACACCGGTCTTAATGCGTGTGGTGCACACTGAACCTGAAGATCACACCGTCATGACACATGCTCCAATATATTGACTGATTTTGACAGACAGTACTTTAGCAATTTTGGAAAATCAAAAATGATACCTGGCCCAATGCCCACTTTAATAATATCAGCTCCAGACAGAATGAGTTCCTCCACCATCTCTCCTGTCACCACATTTCCTGCCTGTATAGTCCAGATCTTTGTGTTACACGGCATATGTAGTTCAATAAACATATAATGATGTTCTCATTTAATGGATTCATCGGTTGTTACATCTCACCATGATGGTATGCTTGGGAAACCTTTCCCGAACTCTTTTTACAAACTCCACAAAGTGTTCGGAGTATCCGTTGGCCACGTCCAGGCAGATGTACTGGATGAGAGGAATGGCCTCCAGGATGCTGCAGAGTTTCTCCAGATCTGCTGCTCCGCTGCCTGAGCTGGCGGCCACATGCTGGAGATGAGAAGAGAGGATAGTCACCAAACTGAGGAAGAGTGAAGCAGGATCACAGCAGAGAGAGCAGTGCAAGAGACTAGTGATATTGTTTATTCTACTCTATTGTTTTTATGTTTGATTATGTAATTCACAGTGCTTCGTAAATTTGTTGTTTGTCCTTCTTTAAAGCCATAAAGAAAGTCTTGTTTGCTTGTCATTTAATCCAATATTCATATTGTTGGCAACAAACCAACTTGCAATGGTGTGATTCTTCTTAAAGCTGGTTGGTTTGGTTCCAGGTGCGGATTTACCAATAAGTGAGGTAAGCAGCCGCTTACTAAAAAAAATATGGAGGCTCCCAATAAATACCTTTTGTTATGCATAAAACTAGATATAACAGGTTTCTATCATGTTTTGTGTGGTGAGGATCTAACTATTCAAATTTTAATGCATGATTAATTTGTCCATGCAAATTTGTCCCCCACTCCAAATCATGGAGCAGTCAAATCAGATGAAAATTAAATAGCTTATTTTATTATTTTTAGTTTTTTTATTTTAAGGAAAGAAAATTATAAAAGCAGACGGACTGACATAAGAAAAAGACAATAAAAATACAAAGGTGCATATTAGGACTGTTAAGCCTCGTGGCTGGAATTGCTTAAAGCCCCAAATCACTAAATCCACCCCTGTTTGGATCATGACTTATAAGCCAGCAGAAATCCGCTGATTCCCATTATCCTTATAATCGAGTCTATTTATTAAACTATACTGTAAAACATTATCTGTAAATTAGCAGTTTTCCATATTTTATGATTCATGATTTTATTTTTCCTCTTTTATTCATGTTTTTGAATTACATTATGGGACTTTGATCTATCTTCCAACAACTTTTAATCATGAAAAGTTGACTTTTGTTGTGATTTTTACTAAAAAAGTGATATTGTCTGGGTTGTTGTTGCATATTATGACACAAAAACCTTGTAATAAACTGCCAGTACATTTTCTGTTGTAAAAATGGGCATATTAGGTTTCCTTTACTTAGAAAAGTGTGTGAAAATATGTACTATAAGATTCCTTATTTCATTCAGAGAAACTTCTGTCTCTACATATTAATTCCTTATATATTATTATTATTAGTATATTTTATTAAAAAGTTACTTTGTTAAACCGTAGTGTTGAATTCTCCACATCAAAAGTTGACAGAGCAGAGATCAATAATTCAATTCACAACCGCAAATAAATGGAAAAGACTTGTGAATAACAAAAAAGGAAACAATTAATTAACATATTTTTATGTAAATGTGCATAAATATTTATTCAGTTTTTATATCGATTTCAGTAATATTATTGACTGATATGCAAATGCTTAAAAATGTATTTACAATATAGTGTGTAAAGTAATATTTTCAGTCTTTTAGTAGATTTATTATACGAGAGACTTACTTTGTTTAACAAAAAGTTATTCAAATTGGATTTGCATAGTAAACCTTAAATTATAGTAAAAAAGTTATGTTGTTATTTCTTATGTTACATTTTAGTTACTATTCTCTCATAATCATTCCACATAAATCTGCAGATTTTTTATTTTATTTATTTATTTATTTATTTTATCATTATTATTATTATTATTTTAATATTATTATTATTTTTTTAAGGCCACAGATTCTGTTCGGCCCAGCTACACTGTAAAACAAATGCTGGGTTCCACACAATCCCTTCATGTCATCTCAAAACAAATCAATTAAGTTAACTTAAAGGTTTTTACCATTATAAGTTGATTGAACAAAGAACAATTGCTCAAGAATTGCATTGTTTCAGCTCATTTAAAATAAGTAGGGACTTCAAAAGTAAACAAGCCCGGTTTAAATTTAGGAGTGTAAAAATTCTGTTAAAGGTTCAAGAAACCCTAGAGAACTTTTTTTAAAAGATTTTAACAGATTTGTGTGTGTTGAGCATCAGTTAAAACAACATTAGCACCTGTCAGCTTTAATTGTGGGGAAAGCTGGATAGTTCTGAGCTTTTGTCAGCTAATTTACTCTTCCGGGTTTAAAATAGTTTTTGGGGCGGGATCAAAATCGGTGACAGTGCAAATCTGCTAGTGGAGTGATGATTATTATTATTCGTATAAGAGTTTTCTTATCCTATGAAAAGACCCTGATTCTTAATTATTCATGAGAGCATGTGCTTTCTGAAGGCAAAACAGACCTGCCAAGCAGTGAGACCTAATGACTGGGTGAGACCACATCCGCACATGGGAAGCAGTATTTAGCTGTTCATGAAGGGTCAGAACGTTATGTGTTTGCTTCCATGATTCACAGGGTTTGTTGCATGTTTTTCCTCGAGATGCTGTCCAGGCTGATACAGCAAAGCTGTTGATTTGCAGCAAGTATTTTTGTTGGGAGAGCTGTACGAGAATTGGAGAATGGCGAATGATTTTGTCTTTTATCAGTTGAGTTTGTTACCATTCAGATAAATTGCTTGTATTCGTGCTGCAGTGTCCTATTTTTAAATTCCTCCAGAATACCGGCAGAGCTAATGGTTGGAATACATAGGAAAGAGACCTGCTGTACTACTGGCCACTGTGTCTGCATTAAGACCCAGAGATTCAGTAGAAGAAGTTCTTCTGATTTATATATATATATATATATATATATATATATATATATATATATATATGAAAAACATATGTAGCAGGGCATTAAATTACAGTTTATTTTTTTATTTAACTTTGTAAACTATAAAATCGTGCGTCTCCACACCGTTTGTGCCTCATTTTGTGAGCCAACTGACAAGTTGCTTCGCTTCCTTTAAAAAAAACTGTAAAATATATATATTTTTAAAGCCCCTATAGAAAAAATTTATGAAAAAAAAAACTCTTTCAGAACTAGTCCTGCAAAAAAATGAACAGACAGTCTTTTATCTTGGTTTCTGAAATGCTCCGATGTGACTATACTACTTAATTAAACAGCTTTTGATTAAGCAAGAAAGGAAAGTCATTTCTGTCCATTCACCTCAAGGCACTCTGGATGATTGGCTGCAAAAGTCTTCCACTCCTCCAGGGAGTAGTGCTTCTGGATGGCTGTGAAGAGCGTGTGCTGAAAGACAGAGCAGAGAGACACGTCTGGCACCGAGACAGACAGAGATATAAGAGCCTCTTGATCCCAGCAAGTGAAACAGGACACAGCTAATTATGTTTCAGTGAGATCTTGATAATCACAGAGATAAAACATAGTAAAACAAGACTTTCTCTGGGTCGTATTTCAGACAGCGGCGCTGCGTTTCATCACTTACTGTGCTTTGTTTAAAGAAGCTCTCACCTTGCTGAGCACCTGCGCTATCTCAAAAGTGCCGGTGGTGTCCATGTTAGCAGCGATGATCGGGATGCCATTGTACGTCTGCTTTGAGTTCCGGAATGTGAAGGTCCTCTGCAGGTCAACCTTCCGGGACAAGACATGTTGAGGAAATTACTTTCTAAAACAAACAGCATGTGTGACAGCTTTGTTTTAATGGATTGGCCTAAAATCAGCCCTAACCTAGTTCTTGTTCTATTCTTCTGACTCTGTAACCGAACTAAGCATGCACTCAGATATATTATAACTAATACATATTTAGACCCATTAAACTGTCTTATTATCACTGTAATGAATGAACTTACTTGAATCCATGTCAAGTGGATGAGAAATACAGTGCAGTAATACTTGCTTTGAATGAAATAAGGAGTCTTATAATACATATTTTCACACACTTTTCTAATTAAAGGAGACCTAATATGCCCAAGTGTGTATGTGAAGTTTCAGCTCAAATTACTACACAAATCATTTTTATAACTCTTTGCAACTGCCCCTTTTAGGCTTTGCTCCAAATTTTGGTGACTGTTGCTTTAAAAGCAAATGAAATTGTGGTCTATTCAAAAATGGGCAGAGCTCCAAACACCTATACATCATTATAATCCTGTTTTTAATAATCGCCGACATTATTGGACTACCATTCATACGCACGCGAATGCGTCAGACCAGAAACGCAAGGTCATGTGGCAAGTTTTGCAGTTCGCTGTGTTGGAAAGTTCAAGCTTGGTGAACTGACCTGCAAAATCGCATCACTTGACTACATGAGACCAATCGAGGATCAAAACATGAGCTCTCTGGACAGAAAGTTAAAACATGGACCAATCACTCGCTTTTTTAAATGTCTAATCACCTTGTTTAATCCTGTCCCTTTTCGCAGTGCCGTACGACAGAATTTCGCAAGCTAAAACTCTAGTGTGACCGCAGCTTTAGGTGTGAAAACTCAAATGGTGGACGGCTGCTTCTCACTCAGGGCTGTTTATGGTAATGAAGAAGAGATCGTCACTCATGGGCAGGGCTTTTCCCCTCTGATAACGTGTACAAAGGGAGAATGTCAATGAAATTGTGATTATACAAAATACCATTAGAGGCTTACTATCACACATTGTTGCCACACAACTTCTTTTAAATGTCTTATAAAAGTGATTTTTGCATAATAGGTCCCTTTTAAAATGTAAAATCATGTTATGTCAAATATTAGTGTTGAACAAGAGAGCACAAGTCAATTTCTAGTTTTGAGATAGTATCAAGTTTGTCATTTAGAAAAAATTGATTTAGCACCTATTGTTTGTGTCTAATGTTTCCTTTCGCTCGAGTGTATGGCAACCCATAAAACTAATAGTTTATTAGAAAGTTATAAAGTTTGGCACAGAGATGGAGGACTGTTTAAACATTATCTACTGTAAATTAGATTGTAAATTGTAAAAAAATATATATATATATATCTCCACATTTTTTGGTTAAAGACAATTTGACCACATCAATAATAATGTCTAAATCATTTAAATTTCAAGCAAAACTTCAAGACCACTGTTCCCATTTCAAGACAATTTCAGATTTTAACTCCTTAAAAATATATCACATTCAAACTAATTAGTTAAACGATTCTTGAATAATGCATGAAGGACTTTGACAGCTGTAATGCACTTCAGGCCCAAAGGTGCTCAACTTGTGATAAAAAATGATGAAATTTAACAAAAAAATGCAAATAGCTTTAGATTAGTGTTTGACTACTAAAATCTCAGATCAGGCAAGAACATTAATATCAATTATGCCACAATCAAACTTTCTGTCTGCTATTTTGATTTGATCTAAAAACTTACATTGTCAAACTCTTAAATCCTTTGTAGATTTCCAGCCATGCTGATTTAATGTTGATCAAATGGTTTTGTTTACAGCATTAACTACTGAGGCTTTATCTTTCACATACTGACATGGTATGACCTATATATATATATATATAGTGGGGCAGTAGGTAGTGCTGTTGCCTCACAGCAAGAAGGTGGTTCAAGCCTCGGCTGGGTCCATTGGCGTTTCTGTGTGGAGTTTGCATGTTCTCCCTGTGTTCGCGTGGGTTTCCTCCAGAGTCCAAAGACGTGGTACAGGTGAATTGGGTAAGCAAAATTGTCCGTAGTGTATGAGTGTGAATGGGTGTGTATGGATGTTTCCCAGGGATGGGTTGCAGCTGGAAGGGCATCCGCTGTGTAAAAACATGTGCTGGATGAGTTGACGGTTCATTCCGCTGTGGGGACCCCGGATTAATAAAGGGACTAAGCCAAAAATGAATGAATGAATAAATGAATCTCAAAAAAGCATTAAAATATTTTTAACAATTAAATAAATACAAATTAGAATAAAATAAATGAGTAATCTATAAAGAGAGAAATACCACATACAAGTTGAAGAAAAAGTTACATATTTATAATAAATAGTATACACTCACCGGCCACTTTATTGGGTACACCTGTCCAACTGCTCGTTAACGCAAATTTCTAATAAGCCAATCATGGTCAAGACGATGTGCTGCAGATCGAATGGAGAATCAGAATGGGGGAAGAAACGTGATTTAAGTGACTTTGAACGTGGCCTGGTTGTTAGTGCCAGACAGGCTGGTCTGAGTATTTCAGAAACTGCTGATCTACTGGGATTTTCATGCACAACCATCTCTAGGGTTTACAGAGAATGGTTCAAAAAAGAGAAAGAATCTAGTGAGTGGCAGTTCTGTGGGCGCAAATACCTTGTTGATGCTAAAGGTCAGAGAAGAATGACCAGACTGGTTTGAGCTGATAGGAAGGCAACAGTAACTCAAATAACCACTTTTTACAACTTGGGTATGCATCTCTGAACACACAACACGTCCAACCTTAAGGCGGATGGACTACAGCAGCAAAAGACCACACTGGATGCCACTCCTGTCAGCAAAGAACAGAAAACTGAGGCTACAATTCACACAGGCTTACCAAAATTGGACAATAGAAGATTAAAAAAATGTTGCCCGGTCTGATGAGTCTCGATTTCTGCTGCGACATTCAGATGGGTAGGAGTTTGGCGTCAACAACATGAAAGCATGGATCCATCCTGCCTTGTATCAACAGTTCAGGCTGGTGGTGTCAATGCCACAGCCTACACGAGTATTGTTGCTGACCATGTCCATCCCTTTATGACAACAGTGTACCCATCTTCTGATGCCTACTTCCAGCAGGATAATACACCATGTAATAAAGCGTGAATCATCTCAGACTGCTTTCTTGAACATGACAATGAGTTCACTGTACTCATGGCCTTCACAGTCACCAGATCTCAATCCAATAGAGCACCCGTGGAGTGTGGTGGATTCGCATCATGGATGTGCAGCCGACAAATCTGCTGCAACTTCGGTATGCTATCATGCCAATATGGACCAAACTCTCTGAGGAATATTTGCAGTACCTTGTTGAATCTACCAAGGATTAGGGCAGTTCTGAAAGCAAAAGGAGGGGCAACCTGGTACTAGTAAGCTGTACCTAATAAAGTGGCAAGTGAGTGTAAAGTAAATATAAAAAACTTTGGATTAATATTATCATGCTCAGCTGACATATTGTGGTGGGTTTAAGTGAAATTGTGCTGAATCATTTGAAAGCATTAAAAAATAAAAATAAAAAAAGTCTTGCAACCTCTCTCTCTCTCTCTCTCTCTCTCTCTCTGTCTCTCCCTCCCTCATGCACAGGCTCAGGTTCTCTGAATCCGTTCTCAGTCATTCTCAGTTCCAGTAAGTGCTGCTGCTGCAGTCACATCAGTCACACTACACTGCTCCATGAATAATCACCCTGCTGCCATTTATCGAACTGCTTTGCTACCCAATAGCTGTACAGAACAAATTCACCATTTTCCCCTTTCAAACGGCACACGAGGGATCACAGATTGTTTGTGAGGACAGTGATTGATTACTGCAGGTTATGAAGTGGCACTCAGCTGCTGTTCCGCTCAGATCATCACCGCCATCAGATTAGCCAGACGCAGCGAGATCTGACCACCGCTCTACGTCATCCTGCAGAGAAAACTCACCAGCTATACACAACTTAAATAACACAGTAGCAAGAGGAGTTTGAAATTAGCTGTTAGCTATGAGTTAACTGAAAACTTAAAGGGACAGTTCACTGAAAAATGTAAATTCTGTCAATTGTACTCAAGTTTTAATTGTTTTAAACCTTTATGGGTTTCCTATATTCTGTTAAACACAAAAGAAGATATTTTGAAAAATGTTTGAAACTTGTTTTTATTGACTTCCATAGTATTTGTTTTTCCTACAATGGAAGTCAATGGCAACAGGGTTCCAGCATTCTTCAAAATATCTTCTTTTGTGATCAATAGAATTAAGTCAAGTTTAAAGGTTTGGAAACACATTAATGTGAGTAAATTATCATTTTTTGGATGAACAACTTAAACATGATGTTTTAGGACAAAAATATTAGTCTTTATTAGATAAACTGCTAGAACTTTGTACTTTATGATCATGAAAAAAATCTACGTCTTTGTCCTACTATTACTATGAGCAACACCACAAAGGAATCTGCTTTTATTAGCATGTTGGCACACCTCAGACCTATTTTTAAACACATTTTCAAAGCACCGACTCTCAAATTGCATTTACTCACTCACGAAAACACATCAACACCACAAAATAAAGACAAAACAACAAACACACACACTTCAAGCCTGAACAACTTTACCAAAGCTCAACTCTAGCATAAACAAGAGGCCCTTGAAAACCTTCTGTGTGTTTCTGACTTCAAGGTCATCCTCATTTTCACTTTCATTCCTTGCTGCTCACACAGTGAACTCCCAGCAGATGTTCCTACCTCAGACCTGCTCTTCAGACTGCTCCTCTTTGGCCTGAAAAGGACATCTTTGAAGTCCAGTTTGAGGTCGGCGTCCACCCGGGGCATACTGGCGGTCCTGAGAGTGGAGGAGAGTCTCCGGGTTGGTGCAGTCACTGGTCCAGAGCTCCAGGCACCAAACCCGAACCGGCAGAAGAACAGCGTATTTATAGTGTAGAAAGGGCCGTCACTGCCCAGGCCCCCATGGCTTTATTTGGCAAGGCCTGTACGCTCCTTCTCTCCTTCCCTCTTTCTCTCTCTCTCCCTCCACTTGCATTCAGCCTGGAGTGGCAGCAGCAGCAGCAGCGATAGAAGTGTTTCCTGCACGTCTGTCTGACATATAAACACACACACACACAGAGGGAGAAGCAGAGTTGCTGCAGCTAAGCTCAGCACTGCAGTACAGTACAGTATGTACAGAGCTCCTGCTGTCCAGCTGGGGTATTGCTCCTCTAAATCAATGAAAGATTTACTGGGAAATAAAAGGGAGGGACAGGAATATAAAGAGATATTAGGGACAGGAGAGGAAGCAATGGAGATTTCTCTTGTGCTTTTTCATTTTTGAGGTTGACCCTTGGATCTAAAAAGGTAACTTAAAAAACAGACACTAAAAATTAAAAACTGATAATTCATTCATTTATATATATATATATATATATATATATATATATATATATATATATATATACACACATACACACACTGTGTGTGTGTGTGTGTGTGTGTGTACAAATATATATATATATATATATATGAGTGTGTATATACATATAAACATTAAATAAAAACACAAATACTGTACATAAATGCACATACAAATTAAAAACCGTGTGAGCTTACTTTATTTTTTAATTGTTATTTGTTGCAATATTATTTCAAGTATTAAAAATAATAATGTTTGCATTTAGTATGGATGTGTCATTTCATCCAGCAAATCACATTCTCCATTAAAAATAAATAAAAAAATCTTTATAAATGCATAAAAAAAAAATTAGACATAATCAGCAAAGGCCAAAACTCATTAATATGTTACTAATGTAATATTAATATTGTACTACAAACTCCAGGAAAAAAAATAGCAATACATTTTGCAGAACTGTAAAATTTCAGAACTAATATTACAAACAGTGCTTTAATTTTTGCAGAAGTCTTTAAAGGTTCCCTTTTGTAAACTACAATCGTGACAAACTTGCACTGATGTTGCTACAGTTTGTGTCAAATGCACAGCACTTGCGAACACAGTATTTGTAGAGCAGCGTTTATTACAAAACAAGCTGAATAGATCTGAGATTCATAGAGTGCATCAGACCATTTATTAATTTATATATATATATATATATATATTTATATATATTTATATATATATATATATATATATATATATATATATATATATATATATATATATATATATATATATAGTCACATGGTCTATTTTACTTTCTTTTTTTCATTTTCTGAATAATTTATTTATGCAAAAATTTATGCCCCTGACAGACCTGTAAAAATAGTGTTTTGAACACAACCGCACGATTCAAAACAATCCATTTGAAAATGCAGCATTTCACAGCTTTGGTAATAAAGGCCATTCACATAGGTCACACTTCAAGTAGAAAAATACAGAAATCTACATAAACATTAAAAAAATCCTGATAACCTCATTAAGATCTTAAAGGTTTCAGGCGACCCCTTCCAGCTTGAGCGTCCAGGCCTGTGCGGGTGAGAAAGGCAGATCAGGCAGCAACAAAATCAGTCCCGATGAATGCAGAGGAGCCCATTTCAAAGGTTTAGGATTCCCCAACAAAGTCACCTGAACACAGATGCAAGAGAAACAAAGACACTAATTAATATCTTAACAAAAGAAAAATTTACTTTTTACATTCCATATTTTATTTACCACTGTGTTGTCCGAGGTTTTGGGTGCAGAAAGTTCAAAGGTGTTCTGGTTGGGACTGGAGGTAAAGATCGCATACACTGTGGAGTTTTTCGATGTATACCTGAAATTAAATCAAAGTTTTAAAAAGCATATTTACTACACTAGAACTACACCACATGGTAAAAAATGTAAATGTTTGCTTCTATATGAATCGTCTGTTTTGAACAAATCATTTGAATGTCTGAATCGATCAGTCCCTCCTTAAGACGAGAACTTGACACCTTAGACAGCATTTTCAAAAAGATACTTTTCATTTCCTAAAATGCCTTCTTGGTATAGATGGAAAGAAAAAATCCTTTTTTAAACAAAAACGTATTAGTGTGAACATGGCCTTATAAAATACTAAAAATCGTCATCCCTAAATGACAATCCCTTTTTGACTGCAACTGCAGTTGAAAGCGAACCGTTTTTAAATGTATTTAATATATTAAAAAAATATAAAAACATCAACACACCAGACAGGAACAGTGGCATTCTCAGCTTGAACTCTCCAAGAGCTCGTTGCATAGATGGCTTCACCGTTGATCTGCAGCCAGGCTCCGATTCCTCTGAGACGTTCCTCAAACACAGGAGCGATCACACCATCTGCTGTGGGCCCCACATTCAACAGGTAATTCCCACCTAAAGCCACAGTGTAGACCAGGTCCTGTGTTCACCACATATATATAAGAGGTTAAAAATGCACTTGATACATTGTATAATGCCTGAACATTCTCATCACATCTCACCTTTATAAGCGCTGGCAGATCCATCAGCTCACTCAGCTTCATATTTCTGCGATACCCCCATGATATAGTGTCCACTGATTGGCATTTCTCCCACTTGTGTTTGGGCAGCTCGCCAGGACTGAATTTGTCGGCGCAGTTGTAGTAACCTCCATGTTTGCAGTAACATCCGTTCCCCCATCTGTCATTGACCACCACTATGTCCTATAAGGAGCACAAGAATTCATTTTCATGATCTAAAAGTTCAGTTTCACAATAATAAAGACATGATGTGATGATCTCACTTTGACTGGACTGTCGTTGTAGAGCCAGGCAAGGAATTCTGTAGAGTTCCAGTAAGTGTCCGGTGCTTCCCAGTCGCCGTCAGACCAAATCAAGTCTGGCTTGTACCTGAAACAGCAAAAACATCAGCTGTTTTATTAATGTAAAACTATACGACCATAAAGGTTGATTTTTACACATTAAGATCAGAACAGTGAGATTGGTGTCATAAACCAAAGTTTTTTCATCATATGACTGACTCATATTTACCTGTTGACCAGATCGTAGAGTTCAGGCATTGCTTTTCTTGCAACATACTCCTGGGTCTTGAAACCAGATTGTTTGTCACTCAGGTAGAGGGGATTGAACCATTCGTACAGAGAGTGATAGAGTCCATAATGCAGAGACCTAATTTAGGAAATTCAACATATTTAATATGCACAAGAAAATCTATTTAAATTTTACATAAGAATTTGCAATTGCAACAGCATTTTAGTATTTTACAAAAACAATGCAGACTGATGTTGTAAGCTTGTTTATTGCATTAATATTTTTTTTATGCAGTGATTGGTAGCATGAATAGTTTTAAAAAGATTGTACTTGATTAATTTTTCAATTACACTGAAAATACCCACTTTATAAAGCACACCTGTCAGATTCTATGAGTAAATAAAACCCATAGACGAACTAAATTCTCCCGCTATCTTTCAAACCTTTGCAGGCCAACCTACTGTGGGATGATATGTTTTTTTATGTTTATGAGTTTGCAGCCCACTCCCTTGAAACATGGTAAATTGACCATGTGCATGGAACATTATTTATGCCATCCAAAAAACCTTGGGTAAAACTTTGGTCTGACTGTGCGTTCAATATGCATTCCTATTACTATAACTGATGATGTAATTTATTATCAAAATCTTGTAAGTGAAATGGTCGCTAAATATTCATTCAGTTAATCAAGTTTAAAATGAGATGCAAAGACATTTAAATTTAAGCAACATTAGAGGACAGCAGCTGAGAAATGTCATATTTTCAATGAATCAATCCAACTTTGTTTATAATGCAATTTAAATACACTTAAAGTGCTGTACAGAAGACTAAAAATTCAAACAGTGCATAAAATACATATTAAAATGCTTAAAACAAATAAGCTAAATTTCAACAGGTGTCACAGACCAAAGATATGTTTTAATTAGTGGTGGGCCGTTATCAGCGTTAACATGCTGCGTTAATGTGAAACTCTTTTATCACGTGATAAAAAAATATCGCCGTTAATCTATTCTCAAAGTTGGGTAGGGAGCTGGGTCTATTCTGCGCAAGCTATGATGACTTTCACCTTGATATTTTAATGCGGATGCGTGTGTGGATCTTGTCGGAAAATTTGGCGAAAAGTCCTACAAGAGATAGTTTGATGGTGGTTTTTACTTCAATAATGCCACTAATATATGCATACTCCATGTCTTAATTCCATTTCTCTTTAGTTCAGTTCTGACTTAAGTCGAATTTATTTAATCAAAAAATAAATGAATATAAAATAACAAAAATTGCTGTTTGTAGCTTATATGTAGGCCTACAGTTCAAAATTCATATTTAACTAAATAAACAGTTAGTAAACACAAGTACATCTTACTGAACATCATTTTTTTTCTTCACCGTTTATCATAGTAGAACAGTTTCTCAAGCAGGATTTTGTAAACAGGAGATGAGCCCCTGGTCTAATGCGCGACCTGGCTTGAGAAACCTGCTCTCAAAGACTTATTATTTGGGTAGCACACATATTCTGAATGCCTTCGGCAGAATTCAAATGAGCCATTTTAATCTAGATTAATTCCGAGATTAATATAGATTTTAAAATTTTATCTACGCCCACCTATAGTTTTAATATATGGTTTAAAAACAAGCATTTGCCCGTCTAATGAACAGAGGCAAAACCTCCAAAGTTTAGGAGCTGCTACAGGAAAGACATGGCTTTCTAAAGGTTTATGCTTTGTTTTGAAACATTAAAGATGAGAGACAATGCAAAGCAGTGTAGTGTTATGTGTCCAGCATGTGATCCACTTCAAATTTTGTCTCAATTAGGAAGTGTATATCATTGATTTTGAACTAGGCAAATTATAAACACAGCAAGCACAGAATGTCATGACACCATAACCATGCATAAGGTCAACTGCACAGTTTCAATTTCTGACCCTTTTGGTCTTATACAAATAGACATACTTTTTCCATTTTTATTAATTTATTTTTGTAATACTTTTTTTTTTTTCTAAGTAAAGTTTGTAATGTTGTGCTTCATGAGATAGATGGCTTCTTTTAAGCCTGGTACAACAAAGTGAATTTGCAAATACTTTTACCATGACTGTGTCTAAGAAAAAGAATATTAGCATACTGCTCATTGTTTTCAGCAAACACAACTACTTTTAATTAAAATCTGAAAATATGTATAAATGTGTAAATGGTCTTCTACAATTTTTATTATTAAACCACCTCATTTTGAAGAAATGTATAATATAAAAATATTATATTGCAAAATAGCAATGACCATTAGAGTGTTCAAGTAAGGAGATTCTCTATCATGTTGTTACTATAAAAAATCAGATATTAAATCCATACCGTCTCAATTTTTATTAAATGTTAACAATTTTACTAAATTATTTGAATATCTGCTACTAATTACAGGATTGTTTATGGATTATATGACTCCTATGCATTAACTGTTAAATTGTATTCTTTCTTTTTCTAAAAAATATCACATCCATTAAGTAAAATATGTCCAAATATTACTTTAAATTGACATAAAGAACTTTTTATTGCCCTAAAGAATTTATTATTATTTAATTTCTAATACAGTAAAATTAAAGACACATATAGTCTTCAATACAATTCAATGAGTCCACAATTCAAACATATCTGAAACAGTAACGACTGACTTTTGCTCTAGTAGTCTATCTGTTATATCATTATGCGTTTTTCCCCTAAAAGGAGAACAACTGGTTTAGGAACTAGTTTATTTAAGATACTGTAAGCTTTGTTACAATTTAACCACGACTACACATTACCTTTTTCTTACCGCATTGCCTAAATCTCCAACCAGATCTCTGTGAGGTCCATTATCAACAGAATTCCAGTTCCAGGAAGTCGGGGATTCCCAGTTTGTGAACCCTTCGTGATGTTTCGATGTAAGGACCACATATCTATGAAAGATGCCAAATAAATTAATAAACACCCATGTAAAAACTAAAAGAATAACTAGGCAAAGCAAAAGCAGCAGTAGCCTACATACTTTGCTCCGGAAGCTTCGAAGATCTCAGCCCAAGCATCAGGGTCAAAAAACTGCGCGTGGAAATCAGGCGCAAAATCCGCGTAGCTGAAACCTGGAGGGTAGTTCTTTACCATGTACAGGATATACTTAAAGTCGTGTGCCCCCTTCCAGTTCCACCAGAACCACTCGCTGCCGAAAGCGGGCACCGAAAACACCCCCCAGTGAACGAAGATGCCGAACTTCACCTCGTCGTACCATCCAGGCAGAGGTCTGGAGTCCAGACTTGTCCAGTCAGGAGTATATCGAGCTCCGATAACCGACGCGCATGATAGCAGACAAAGAAACAGCGACATCTGACTCCGAGTCACTTGCATGTTTGATCACAGCTCAAATGCACTGAGGTCAGTAAATCTGTGAAACTGAAGTGTAACATGAGCACGAATGCCAAGAGAACTTTATCCTGACAAACCTTTATGGTTCAAAGTAATGCAGACTCCAGCAGCCAGTTTGTATTTCCTGGTTTATCAAATGTCATCCCACATGCGACCACATGACTTACCAGCCCCCCCTCAAAAACAAACTCAGCAAAAAGGGATGTAGATGGGTTAATGACCGTGAGAGGAAGAGAAAATGTGTGTGTCTGCGAGAGAAATGTGTGCGTGAGAAAGAGAACCCAATGAATTTAGCATTTGTCTCGGAATCAGACTTAAGTGGTGAAGGGTTTCAGTTCACATCCGCATTTATTACCACTGCAAATGCTTCCTTTTGTAAAAAAAATGGAAATGCCGGATGCATACTTGGCCATTTATAAAACAAAATGTTTGCAAATGAAAGTAGGTCTACCTTTTTTTTTTTAAAGCAAAAGTCTATATAAAAGTGTTCAGCATGTTTTTAGGTTAATGATAATATACCTAATATAATATACCATAATGTAGTTTTAAACGTGTAATAACACTTATAATGCTCTGAAATATGGAGTCAGATCAGTCTCAAAAATAATAAATTTAAAAAAGTTAAATTCATACATTCACAGAATAATTCACATTTACAAATTCCAATCTGTAAACACACAATTCATGAATTCACAAGTGAAAATCATAAATATTTTCGCCAAATATTTAGAAGCGGCGCTTCTGCCAAATATTAATGAATAAATTTCCATGTTTTTGAATAGTTTTTTAAATTTATAAATTTGATTTTCGTATTTTTGAATAGTTATTTATTTATTAATTGGATTTGTGTGTTTTAAAATAATTTTTTATTTAAGTTTTAATAAATTTGCATGCTTTTGATTTTTTTTTAAATTTCAGATTGGATTTGCATGTTTTTTTAAATACATTTTTGAATTTCCAAACTGGATTTGCATATTTGAGTCGTTTTTTGAATTTACGAATTGGATTTGTGTATTTTTAAATATTTTTTATTTATTTATGAATTGGACGCATGTATATTTGAAAAAAATTTTATATACAGAATTGGATTTGTGTATTTTTTAATCTTCTTTATTATTTACAAATTGCATGTGTATTTTTGAATCATTTTTTGAATTTATGATTAGGTTTGTGTGTTTTTGGACAATTTTTTTTATTTCCAAATTGGATTTGCAGATTTTTAAATAGATTTTGGAATTTAAAAGTTGAATTTGCATATATTTTTTTTCCTGAATTAGATTTGCATATTTTTAAATCTTGTTTTTGAACTTACGAATTTGGATGTGTGTTTATTTTAAAAGTTTTTTTTTTTTTTTAAGATTAGGATGTGTATTTTTCTTAATTTTGTTTTATTTCCTAATTGAATTTGCACATTTTAAATCATGTTTTGAACATATGAATTGGATTGGCGTATTTATGAATCATGCATATTATTTTTGAGACTTATCTGGCTCCATGTTAAATAATTAAAGACCACAAACATGATCCCTAAAGAGTCACAGTAAAGCTTCACATGTCGCTTATCATTAGCCATGTATTTGTGTTAAACCCAAACAATACTCGTTATTCGAAATTTATCTCTAAATTCACCATCTAAATTCATTAAAAAGTCAGCAAATAATTAGTATTATTTAATTAATAATTACCACCGTCACACAGTCCACAAATCTTACAAAGAATGAATAAGTTTATTGACAACTTGAGGATTTCGTCAGTTTTAGATGCATCATAAAATGGCATTAGCGTCTAGAAAACCCTCCCGAAAATTAACAAATCACAATTTGTCATTCCGTCTGTAATTTTTACTGATTAATGAAATCATGTAATCCATTGTAAAAAAAATATTTATACAAATCTGCCCTAAAACAAATTATATTAAAATCAAAATTGTTTTTAAAGCACTATGCCACCCCTTCCATCTTGAGAGTCCAGGCATAAGCGGGTGAGAAAGGCAGCTCAGGCAGAACCACCATCAGTCCTGATGACTGCAGAGGAGCCCATTTCAAAGGTTTAGGACTCCCCAATAAAGTCACCTAAACAGTGAATAAATCATTCATATCATACAAGTTATTTAAAAAATAATAATAATTCTGAAAATGTACGAATCTATAAATATTTACCACTGTGCTGTCGGTGGTGTTGGGCGCAGAAAGCTGAAAGGTGTTCTGCATAGGATTGGTGGTGAAGATCGCATACACAGTGGATTTTTTTGCTGTATACCTGAAATTGAACGAAAATTTCATATTAAATTGTGTTGAATATTTAATTATAGTGTGAAAACCTAAACATAGATTATTCTATATATGATCATGCACTTAAAATATGGAGCCAGATCAGAATAAAAAAAAAAATTCATTTACAAAAATAAAATTCACCCATCCACAACACAATTCACATTCACAAAATCAAGTTTGTAAGTTCAAAACACGATTAATAAATATGCAAATCCAATTAGTAAATGAATAAAAAACAATTTAAAAATATGCAAATTCAATTCGTAAATTTAAAAAACGATTCAAAAATACGCAAATAAAAATGTATAAAGTCCAAAAATGATTTTAAAATACACATCCAATTCGTAAGTTAAAAAAATATTTTAAAAATAAGCAAATCAAATTCTTAAATTTAAAACACGATTAAAAAATATGCAAATCCAATTAGTAAATTAAAAAAACTGATAAAGAAATTCACAAATTAAATTTGTAATTAAAACACAATTCAAAAATACACAATTCCAATACATGAAGTCAAAAAATTATCAAAAAAACACATTAAATTCATAAATAAAAAACTATTAAAAACGACGCAAATCCAATTAGTAATTTCAAATCACAATTCAAAAATACACAAATCCAATTCGTAAATTCAAAACACGATTTACAAATGCACAAATTCAATTCATTTGGCAAAAAAATATAGATGATTTTCACTTGTGAATTCATGAATTGTGTGTTTAGACATTTACGAATTGGATTTTGTACATTTGAATTGCTCTGTGCATGTATGAATTGTATTTTTTAAATGTATTATTTCTGAGACTGATCTGGCACTATATAAAAATGGTAAAAAATTTGTACAGATGAAAAGTTAACATTGCAAACAGACCCTCAAATAATGATATGCAAAAAATTCTAAAAAAAAATGCTGTATCATGCATTACCGACCAAAAGATGTGCAATGTCTCTTTGTAAAAAACATTCTGCAGATACAGTCCAGTAATCAGCCATTGTTGCTTTGGACGTGTCAAAAACTCTTGCATACATGTAGTGTCCATGATATCACCTTTTCATAAACCTGCATTTTTGTTGTTTATGTTGACGAAAAACCAGTTTGCATTTGAAGATCCCCAAAAACACAATTGTCATGTAAATGAACATCCAAAACAAAACATTTTACATTGTTTGTTGAAACTGTTTTGTAAATATAGCCTAGGACTTCAGAATCAGGCAGAGGTCAAGGAATAATTTTTTTTTTTATAAACAGACACTTAATTATTAAAATTATTTATGACTTCATGTGATGGATTTACTGACGTCAGTGTGAGACCACAAACTTTAGCCTTGAAGGTATGTGACCGTAAGTTATCGAAAGATATGTGAACACACCAGACAGGAACAGTGGCATTCTCAGCTTGAACTCTCCAAAAGCTCGTTCCATAGATGGCTTCACCGTTGATCTGCAGCCAGGCTCCGATTCCTCTGAGACGTTCCTCAAACACAGGAGCGATCACACCATCTGCTGTGGGCCCTATATTCAAAAGGTAATTCCCACCTAAAGCCACAATGTAGACCAGGTCCTGAGGTTAAAACAAGGTTTAAGAGGTTAAAAATGCACTTGACTCATTGGATAACGCATGAACATTCAGATCACATCTCACCTGTACAAGCTCTGGCAGATCCATCAGCTCACTCAGCTTCATATTTCTGCGATACCCCCATGATATTTTGTCCACTGATTGGCATTTCTCCCACTTGTGATTGAGAAGCTTTTGAGGATTGAATTTGTCGGCGCAGTTGTAGTAACCTCCATGTTTGCAGTAACATCCGTTTCCCCATCTGTCATTGACCACCACTATGTCCTACAAGGAGCACAAGAATTCATTTTCATGATCTAAAAGTTCAGTTTCACAATAATAAAGACATGTTGTGATGATCTCACTTTGACTGGACTGTCGTTGTAGAGCCAGGCAAGGAATTCTGTAGAGTTCCAGTAAGTGTCCGGCGCTTCCCAGTCGCCGTCAGACCAAATCAAGTCTGGCTTGTACCTGAAACAAAAACCAGAGGTCCAAAGTTTTTCCCATACTTGAGCTAATTTTTCCTGTTTTGACCGCTATGCCATCATCAATAGTGACAATAATCCATCGAAAAAGGCTTTAAGACCAAGTGGAATCCTGGTGTGACTTAATCAGGATTGGACAATGCAAACAATTATTTCTCAAGAGTTCAACAGTCTTCTTTCACTACTGTATTGCTTTTAAACAGAAAAAACATTTAACAAATAACTTTACTTCTAAATCTTGGACCTTATTCTTAAAAGAAAACATGAGCAATAAGCACCCAAAGCTTCCCATATAAAAATCAATTTGAACACTATTCTGGCTATTGTTGTTATCTATGAAGAGAGGCTAGAAAAATGGTGAAGCTCTAAATTTTTATTTTTATGATTATTATTTTTAAAATGGCCAAATTCTGACTAGGCATGGGCCGGTATAAGATTTTGACAGTATGATAACCTTGGATAAAAATATGATGTTTTTACAGTATCTTGGTATTGCGATTACTACTCTAAAATAAGTTATTTTTAAATGTCTGGGTAAAAACAAAAGCCTTTTTTCCCCTTTGAACAAAAAATATTTTATGTTGTGAAAGATTTAAAATATTTTGGAGCAGTAAACATGTCAGTCACTGACTTCTGTCTTCATTAGTTTCAAAAACACAGATTTCTTTACAATTTAAAACGGCATCTTTGGAGATCTTTTCTGCTGGAGATACGGTTGTCCGAAAAAGAAAAATTATATTACAGAAAATTCTGGCGGTTTTAAAACCTTGACTTTTCCAAACCGCAGTATACCTTGAAAACGGTTGCCGTCCTATGACTAACTCTGACTGAAGAAAGTTAAATGTGCTGGCCAGTTTGTTATTTGCCTAATAAATTACAATTACAATAGGCTACAGTTTTTAAATTTAAAACTTTATTTTCTATTGATACTATGACGTAATGAATTTGTAATTTAAAAATAAACGTCATATTTCTTAATTTTAAATATTTAGGAAATATTTTGGGTACATCAAAAAGTGTGGTTATGATGACCACCTCACAAGCTAAAACAGCTAAAAACAGTGATTAAAATGTCACCTAAATAAAGTATTTAAATCTTATAATTAAATAGAAAAAGAGGCGAATAACTGCAAAAAGGTCCACTTATTGAGAAAAAAGAACCACCGCTTTCACCAGACTAGCTACGGGTCTGATTAGGATTGATCTTTTCGCAAACTGTGAGACTAGTGTCATAAACCAATGTTTTTAGTTTTTTTTCTTCTCTAGCCTGACATCATATGACTCACTCATATTTACCTGCTGACCAGATCGTAGAGTTCAGGCATTGCTTTTCTTGCAACATACTCCTGGGTCTTGAAGCCAGATTGTTTGTCACTCAGGTAGAGGGGGTTGAACCATTCGTACAGAGAGTGATAGAGTCCATAATGCAAGCCCCTAGCACAACGCACAAAAATACTTTAATAAACCAAAACTTTCTCAAAATATTAATCATATCCACGGTTAAATTAAAGACAATACACTGAACAAGATATAAATCTACGGAACATTACTAAAAAGTATTAGATATCAAAGCTTTGTAATAATACAGCACACATTACTTCTTTCTTATAGCATTGCCCAAATCTCCAACCAGATCCCTGTGAGGTCCGTCATCAACCGAATTCCAGTTCCAGGAGGTCGGGGATCCCCAATTTGTGAAGCCTTCGTGGTGTTTCGATGTAAGGACGACATATCTATGGGAGAAAGCTAGAAATAACTACATAATCTAATACAGTAAGATTTAACGAAAAACGCTTAAGTACGTACTTCGCTCCGGAAGCTTCGAAGATATCAGCCCAAGCGTCAGGGTCGAAAAACTGCGCGTGGAAATTAGGCGCAAAATCCGCGTAGCTGAAACCTGGAGGGTAGTTTTTGATCATGAATTGGACGTAATCGGGATTTTGTGCGCCTTTCCAGTACCACCAGAACCACTCGCTACCGAAAGCGGGCACCGAAAACACCCCCCAGTGAACGAAGATGCCGAACTTCACCTCGTCGTACCATCCAGGCAGAGGTCTGGAGTCCAGACTTGTCCAGTCAGGAGTATATCGAGCTCCGATAACTGACGCGCATGATAGCAGACAAAGAAACAGCGATATCTGACTGCGAGTCACCTGCATGTTTGCAGACGTGATTGCGCTCACTGTGGTCAGCTAAAGTGACTCGCTATCACGACTGTCAGTATGACTTCTGCACTACAAAGGGATGTCGGTCGATTTACCTTGGGACCAAACATAATGCCGTTGCAGAAAACCAGAGCAACCAGTTTGTATTTCCTGGTTTATCATATGACAACACTCATGTGACTACTGCACATGACTTCACCTGCAAAACAACTCGCCACAAGGGAATAAACTCGAGGATAAAAGAAAATAAACAAATAATTATGGTTCTGATTCTGAAATCAGACTCGCCGTATGGTTTTGATTCGCTACAAAAATAGTGGTTTGGTCGGGAACTTTTTTAAAAATCATTATTTATTCGTGAAACTACTTCCAAACCCCTACAAAATACTGCAGTTTTTAAAAGGAATACTACAGTTTTAGTTAACTTTTGAAAAGAGCAGTTGTTTGGACACGGGAAACTGCATTATTTAAGTATATTGCAGTATTATTACTGCAGTACAACTACTGCAATGCAACTGAAGCACTACTACAGTAAAACTGCAATAGTGCTAAATTGATACTACTACCAAATGTAGTTAAACTACTGCAATAGTACTGAAGTAATACAACTATTATACTGCTGAGAAAAAAAAAAACAGTTAAAACGGCCAGCCTGGTTTTAGAGGGGTTTTGACCACTTCCAGGTTGGTTTCCAGCCTGGTCTTAGCTGGTCAGGCTGGAAAATGACCAGCTAAAACAGGCTTGACCAGCCTGGTTTAACATAGCTGGTTTTGGCTGGGCTCCCAGCCTGGCTAGGCTGGTCAAGCTGGTTTTGCTGGTCATCTCCCAGCCTGGTCTTAGCTGGTCAGGCTGGGAGATGACCAGCTAAAACCAGCTTGAATGGCTGGAAACCAGCCTGGAAGTAGCCAAAACCTCTCTAAAAGCAGCCTGGTTGACTAGCTAAAATCAGCCAACCAGCCTAGGCTGGTTTAAACAGTTTTTTTCAGTAGGGGCAGTACTACTACTACTGCAATACAACTGAAGTACTACTACAGTATAACTGCCAACCGCTATTGCAATGCTGAAGTACTTCTACAATACAACTGCAGTACAACTTCTACTTTTCCTGCTCGGTGGACAATGGTTTCCAAATTACATTTCATTTGGTGTATTGCTGAAGCAAGCCTGTAGCCAGCCTGGTAAAAGCGGTGGTTATTTTTTTTCTAACAAAGTGGACTTTTTGCAGTTATTCGAGTCATTTTCTATTTAATTATGAGGTTTAAATACTGCATTTTAGTGACATGTGCAGCACAGTGGCGCAGAGGGAAGCACAATCGCCTCACAGCAAGAAGGTCGTTGGTTCGAGTCCCGGCTGGGTCAGTTGGCATTTTTGTGTGGAGTTTGCATGTTCTCCCTGTGTTTGCATGGGTTTCCTCTGGGTGCTCCAGTTTACCCCACAGTCCAAAGACATGCGGTACAGGTGAATTGGGTAAGCTAAATTGTCTGTAGTGAATGGGTGTGTATGGGTGTTTCACAGTGATGGGTTGCAGCTGGAAGGGTTTCTGCTGCGTAAAACATATGCAGGATAAGTTGACAGTTCATTCCGCTGTGGGGACCCCTAGATCAATAAAGTTGAAAAGAAAATTAATGCATGAATGAATTTTAGTGGGGCGACGCAGTGGCATAAGAGGTAGTGCTGTCACCTCACAGCAAGAAGGTCGCTGGTTCGAGCCTCGGCTATGGATGTTTCCCAGAGATGGGTTGCGACTGGAAGGGCATCCGCTGTGTATAAACATGCTGGATAAGTTGGCAGTTCATTCCGCTGTGGCGACCCCGGATTAATAAAGGGACCAAGCCAAAAAGAAAATTAATGAATGAATGAATTTTAGTGACATTTTAAGCACAATTTATTTTTGCTAGATTAGTTTGTCAGATGGTCACACTTATTGATGTATTAAAACATTTTCTAAAGATTTAGAATAAAGAAATATGAAAAATAGCCTACTTATATATAAAATACAAATTCATTACATCATATATCACCAGGGGGTAAAACACAGGAATCTGGTAAAGTTTTAAAATAAAAACTGTAGGCTATTATCATTTATTAGGCAAATAACAAACTGACCAGCACATTCAACTTTCCCCAGTCAGAATTTGGCCATTTGAATAATAAAAAATGATAATAATGATAATAACGTAGAGCTTCACGATTTTTCTAGCCTCTCTTGTAAAATGTACATTTGATAATTCATGGATAACAACAACAGCCTGATAAGTATTATAAGTAACTTTAAAATTGAGTTGCCTTTGGTGCTTTTTATTGGTATTTTTTTTCTTTCAAGTTACTTGTAAAATGTTTTCTCTATTTAACAATAAAGTTAAAGTTGACTTTGATTGCAGGTCTTACTTTAGGTCTTAAAGCCTTTTTCGATGGGATATTTTGATAATTCATGATGGCATAACAGTCAAAATAAGACAAATGAGCTCATGTATGGAACAAATACTGGACCTTTGTCAGTAGAGGGAAGAACAAACCCCTTGGAACACAAGTGCAGTACAGTTCTTACCACACCACTGGCATATTAGACTACAGCAGCACAAGTGCAGTACAGACAAAGTTTACTTGTTTTTACTCTAGTTTACTGCAACTTGTACTGCTGTTGAACTTTATTGTACTGTATCTGAACTGTGTTTACACTTCGTTGTATTGCAATTTTGCAATTGTACCTCATTTTATTGCAGTTATACTTCTACATACTGCTGTTGTACTGCAGTTTTACTGCAGTTATGTTTTTTTAAGAGTAATGCTGTATCAAGTACATAGTAAAAACAACAAGACATGCATCATTTATATAATAAATTAATAAAAAACAAAAAGCAGAGGGGAAAAAAGTCATTTAATAATTATAAAATATGCAATGCAAGCAATCATAAATGGGGTATCCGGTGAATGCTTAATGTGACTATTTTCAATTTCATACGGTTACTTTTACAGCATCGATGTTGTAATGTAATTACAATATATTCAGTTAAATAGACTTAAGCATTTATTTAGTTAAGCATAAAACTAGTTAAAAGACAGTGTAACCGCTAGCGCCTTCAGGATCAGCAGGCAAACGCAGAAACTCTATTGAAAATACAGGGTTACAATAAGCTCATATTTTAAAGGCAGGGCGGGGGGAAATGGAATTCAATGCAGTGCTTGTTGTCCGGTCTGATACGCACTTCATATCGTATATCTATCAGGCAGTGAAAAACACTAAGTTTTAAAGAAATCAGACCTTAAACGTGGAAATTTTATACTGGAAAGACAGTTCATCGGGAGCACTGGGGCTGGCTTTTGCCGCAACTAAAAGTCTGTGTGCATATACCTCATTGAAAGCAATGTTGACATTACAAATACGTTTTACGCCAATGAAAGACAGAACACAAGAATTATAGGCAGGGGCTGACTTAATAAGCGAGGTAAGTAGCCGTTTAGGGCCAAGGGGAATTAGGGGGCCCCGACCAATGCCAAGAAGCCTATATTAATCATATTTTTAGTTTTTTTTTTTTCACCTTTTATTTGGATAGGATAGTGGATGACAGAGAGGAAAGCATTGAGAGCAAAGAGAGGGGAAGGAGGGGCATAGGACCTCGAGCCGGGAATCAAACTCAAGTCGCCCAAATGTCAGCGCACTTAACCACTAGGCTATTGGCGGCGACATCATTTAGCTCTTTAATACTTTTTCTATGATATGTAGTACAATCTGTCAATAACTGTTAAGATTTCAACATTTTGACTTCTTTTTTTAAAACCGGAGCCCCCATGAACAATGGAAAATTCCGTCCAGACTGCATATGCGCAAGGTGTAAGTGCTTTAATCAAAGAAACTGCCAGTCCGTGTTACCTACTCCATTTGAGTATTAGTAAACTGTCTGCTTAATATCTGTTGATATGCTCCTTCAACAGTGATTTAAGGGACTATAAGAAACTTTGCAAGTAGATGTCAACACTAACACCAATCCTAACACTAACCCAACCCTAACAATCTACTTATAATCTAATGAGAATTAGTTGACATGCAATGTAACAAATGGTCCATCAAAATAAAGTGTGACCAAAAAGACTAGCGAATGCTTTTAGGTGTTACTGGAGATTTTTAGAGACTCATGTGTCCGTGCTGTACCATTCTTAACGTAACAAGCTACGAGTGATGCTGTCGGTCTCTCCCCGCCTCAGAGCACTCAAAGGTGGCACAGTGCCACGCTGCCCTCACTCACACCTGCAGCGTTGAGAGCAGATTTCTCTTCATATCAGTGACAGCAAATTATTTGAGGGGGGTTGAGGAGTAATAGAACTTGTTTTTTTTTTTTTTTTGTGAATTTCTTTCTTTTAATTTGATTTTTTTCCGCCCCTGGTTATAGGTAGGCCCACATGAAATCTGCACACAGAATTCTGAAGATTTTTAACCCACCATTGAGTCTATGCATTTTGTAAATGTGTGTACATTTATATTTATTCAGTTTTATAAATTAATTTCTCAAATATGATTGCCATATAATAATAGTAATATGAAAATGTTCATACGAGTTATTTACAATACAGTTTGTAAAGTAATATTTTCTGTCTTTTAGTAGACATATTATATGAGATACTTGCTTTGTTTACCAAATAAGTGGATCTAATTGGATTTACATTGTAAACATTAAATCAAAGTTGAAAATGTTTTAATTTAAATTTTTTATATAAAATGTTTAGTTATAATACTCCCAAAATTCATTCCACCAAAATCCGCAAATTTTTTACAAAATTCTCAGCAGAAATAGCAACAAATGTCCGCAGATTCTGTCTGGCCCCAGTTATAGGCTATATTAGAATACAATGGACAATCTTAAGCTCTGACACTACAATACACTGGTGAAAGGGTAAAAAAGTTTCAGTTCCTATCCATACTGAACACTGACAGTGCACAAAGCAAATGCTTTCTTTCTAAACAGAGAAATGAAAGTTCCTAAATTAAAGAGATAAAGTCGATTGAGTTTTTAAATGACTTGTTTATTTCTGAAAATGTTCCTACTCAAAAACAATGTGTGTGTGTAGG